TTATCATTATCCGAAACTGTTATTGTTGATAGCTGGCTAAAAATGTTGCTTTTGTTGGGGCTTTTGCTGGGTGCATTAATGAGCTGCTTGTATGCTTTTAATTTGCATATGTCTGTAAATGCCGAATCGATAAATAGATGGGCTTTTGATTAATTAACGTATACGGACTGGCTGGCTGGTTCGCATCCGGGGTCTGATTCAAAGGCTGTTCCGGGTGCCGGGTGTACGGGTGTGCCAGTGTCCGAGAGTATATGAACATTTCAGAGCCAGGCCCAGTGGTCCGAGGATGGAGCCAGGCGAGCGGCATGGCCAAAAACCATAATTGATTGTCGATAATTCATGCGAGCTTAAATTGCCAATTGCATGTGGAAGGAAGGATTCGGAGGGGCACGGATAGGAGGGGAGTGGCAGAAAGGGTGGCTGCGGGGCGACCAGTTGTGGGCGACTTTATAGAGATGACGGTCTGATGTCGGCTAATGGCGAACGAATACATGAACCTGCATATGCTTCATGCATATTTATATATGTACATATGATGTGCATATGTGTGTATGCACGTCTGTACCCTCCAATATTTGCAGGACATACATGCATATGCCCATACATATGTACATATGTATATATACAAATGCCTAGCAAATTGGCTTTTATGGGTGTGTATAGGCGCATGCATCTCCGGCACGGTGGAGCCCGGCAAAGAGAGCATGAGCTGGAGTTGGCCATTCCGGGTCAAGAACCGACAGCCCATCGAGTAAAATCATTGGAAATTAAAGTTGGCACATTTTTGCACATCGGACAGACAAAAAAATATACTTGGAAACACCCGTCCCTTTACAATAAATTTTCAAATGCTTTTTTCAACGCGTTATTATTTAAGTATATTATCATACTAAATTTATAATATTAGTACTAACTTCCAAATTAAAATGCATACAAATTTAGTTGGCAATTAAGATTTTTTTAAAGGGCCTAAAACTTTTTGGGAGAAATTCGTTTAAGTTTCGTACATTCTTGAACAGTCGATATAGTAATGTCTGTCGTTTCTTTTTTGCAAACAGATCCTTAGCCCTAGACTCTGTAGTTGCCTTATGAAACTATTTAAGGAAGCTAGGACTTTTTCTTAAGGCCTTTTTTCCAAATTCATAAAGTTTTATTAAAGTGTTTATTCTGATTATAGCAGCTATACTTTAAGAAAAATATTTAAGTAAAAGTATTAAAACTGTCGAAAGTGTGTCGATAGATAAAGGTATTTTAAATATACTGTCAAAATTTCAGACCGATTGGTTAAGATTTGTTCGAGTTATGTGTCCGGCAGTCTCAAAAAAAGTGGTTTTGAAAAAAACGTGTTTCATGTTTTAATTACTGTAACATCGTATTCGTACATACTGTAAAAGGCATCGACTCAGACTCTTTCCGGACTCTTTCTTATGGTATATTATTTTTTAAGACCCTAAAGAATTTTGAATAATTCTTATTTTTGATTATTCATTATTCTCTGAGCAAAAAAAATACACATCGTGAATAATACTTATTATACCCTTGCAGAGGGTATTATAATTTTATCCAAAAGTGTGCAACGCAGTAAAGAAGACATCTCCGACCCTATAAAGTATATATATTCTTGATCAGGATCACCTCCTGATATGATATGAGTGTGTGCGTCTGTCAGTCTGTCCGTCTGTCTGTTTCTACGCAAACTAGTCTCTCAGTTTTAAAGCTATCGACAAAGCCACAAATAGCTCTCATGTAATATTTGAACTCTCTAACTCTAAAAACAACGAAGTTATACCATTTCCGATCAATCAGTTATATGGCAGCTATAGGATATAGTCGGCCGATTCCGGTCGTTCCGACTTATATACTACGTGCAAAGGAAAGAAGGGTGTGCTTTAAAACTGGGAGACTAGTTTGCGTAGAAACAGACAGACAGACAGACGGACATGCTCATATCAACTCAGGAGGTGATCCTGATCAAGAATATATATACTTTATAGGGTCGGAGATGTCTTCTTTACTGCGTTGCACACTTTTGGACAAAATTATAATACCCTCTGCAAGGGTATAAAAATCCTACGTATTTCCATAGTGAACGTTTTGTTGTATATGCACAAAAAATTTGAGGTCGATGGAATAAAATCTCTTTGAAAAATCTTCCCGGCCATGTTAAAAAATTTTGTTTTGACAAAAAGGCGATCAAAGTTTAAATAGCGCGGGGCGGTGCCCTACAGGTCGCTTGAATAGAGAGAGCAGTAGAAAGGGCCAAGAGATGCGCAGGGAGTTTGAATTTTGATAGGTTATTTTACGATACATACTAAAGTATCACATGTAGCCATAAACATTTTTTCAAAAATTTTAAAATCCTATCGTGGTGTAAACCCTTTAAATTGAGGAAAATTTCTTCTTCATTCATTCATTAAATGAGAAATATATTCAAGAAAATTGTGTACAAATTATATAAAAAATTTCTGGCTTTAAAGCAAAGCAAAACAAATTTTTTGAACATCCTTAGTATAACCTTAAGAGCTGGTTTTATTGTTTTCCAAGATAAGATTTTTATTTTAAAATACTTTTTAAAAACGACATATATACTTAAATAAAAGAAAATAAATTTCTTTGATTTTACTAAGTTTGTCCCTAAGTTAACAAACCAAATATTTTAGCAAGTCACCGACTCTTATTTTCTTAGTTCAATATTATTTATTTTTATACCTTTGCAGAGGGTATTATAATTTTGGTCAAAGGCTGCAAAGAAGACATACATTAAAGATACATTAACATATATAAAGATATGTATATATTCCTAACCAGTATCACCTTCTTAAAAAAAAAAAACAAGAAAGGAAAGCTAACTTCGGGCAAAGCCGAAGTTGATATACCCTTGCAGGTAAAACCAGATATATATCGCAAAAATCAGTTATAGTTGGGGGATCCTTAAAAGAATATCATAATGAAACCAATTTAAATCTGTACTTTCTATCTTCAAAAACACGAAGGTTGCATCATTTCCGATATGGCAGGATATAGTCGGCCAATCCCTATGAAATTTGGTATGTCGTATTATTTTTCCAAAAATACTATTCATACAATACAAATCCGAACTCTTTAACACCAACTCTCGAACTCTCTAAAAAGCCCAAAGTTATAGCATTTCGATTAATCTGTTATGTCAGCTATAGGATATAGTAGGCCGATCCCAGCTGTTATTATATACATACTGCGTAAAAGAAAGAAGGGTGTGTGGAAAGTTTCAAGTTGATAGCTTTAAAACTGAGAGACTTTAAATACTTTATAGGATTTATAGGAGTGTCTCCTTCACTGCGCTGCACACTTTTGGAAAAAATTATAATACGCTCTGCAAGTGTATAAAAATAGTGTAATTATTCAAAATATATATTAAACATAAAAACTGTTCAACCGATTGACTTGAAATTTGAAACACATCTTCTTACATGGATTTTCCACAGAGTGACGTAGGATTTTTTTCGATCCAATGGATAGAAATTTTTTATGCAATTTTTAGTACGACATTTTTTGCCCAAAACATTGAGTCAAGTTTTGAAGTGCTCTCATTTGCGTAATTTTTTTTTTTCTAAAACGGCTACGTCACTCTGTTCCAAATTTATCACTTTTTAAAAAAAATTTTGTTTACTTTTTCTGATGAAAATTGACACGTGAATCATGCCCACCATCAAGGAGCACTCCGAAAAAACCCATGATCGCCGATGTTCATATCTCCGCCATTTTGAATTGAAAACAAATTTTTTTTTAGAATTTATAAAGCTCATTAGTTGTATTAAATAGAAATAAAAGTGGAAAAATCCTATCTCAACTAGTTTAGTCACAAGAAATTCCTGAAAAACCGTCCCGTTTCCACGCGGTCAGGGTGGCGTAACCCCTTAAGCTAACTTCGTAAGGAGTCCAAGTTGATATACCCATGCAGTGTAGATCGGAAGTATCGGATATAATTGGCCGGTCCTTAAGTGAATATTATTATAAAATTCATTCTATCTAAGAAAAAATTGAATACCAATTCCCAATCTTCTATCTTCAAAAATGCAAAAGTTGGGTAATTTCCAAACCAATATCCAGTTATAGTGGAACTATAGGATGCTTATATCGACTCAGGAGGTCAAAATCAAAAAAATATGTATATACATTTTAAGGTTTAAGGTGTCACCGTCTCAATTTTAACAAAATTATAATATCCAACACAAGGGTATATCATTATTTTCAAACCTGGAAACTGGTTGCTAAAATCTAGATTATAAAGAATAGATTGTAACCTGAAAACGTTTATATGTTACTTAATACTCCATAATATAAACCTCAAAGGAACTAATTGTAAAATGTTACAAACAGGTACCGCCAGCGCTACAGATGGTGAATCCGGCGATGATGTCAAGAAACCCAACTGCCGTCCTTTCACTGGGCCATTATCTGCCGTCCATGATCTTACTGATGCACATGGTATGGAGGGCCTATCTACTGCTATGTGTACCTCAGGATGAACAACAGTCAGAAAGGCGCTTTCACACCAAGTGAGATCCGGCCCCTGCAAACGTCGCGTCCCGTGACGGGCAGTTCCTGAACTGTCAAATAGTGGACGGCATAAACATATTTGGCACGTCAGTAACAGCCTGTTACAAGACAGCGCACGACCAGCAATACCGGCCACCTCGATGGAAGCGTACAGGGATCACTTTTGGTCGACCAACGATTGTTGTAGCTAAACTGGAACTCGTTTCTCACCTGTCATATACATCCGATAGCTATAACAGTGAGGATTGGGTTTCTGGATTAAGTGCAATGGTGTTACGGGCCGACTACTGTGACTGGGGCCCACCAAGTGGGTGCGGGGCTCGGCCTTCCCGGAGCAGTCTCCGGCGAACAGGGCAAGCTCGGCGGCACAGACAGCATTCGACGCTACTGGCTTACGTTTTGGTTGAAATCCGTGTCCAGTGACGTTGATTGCAGTTGTGTAGACGCGAATGCAGCGACTGTTAGGTGGAATTTTATGGCGTTTATTAAAAATAAATATTCGAGTTGACAATTTAAAGCTAAATGAGAAACAATTTGGGCGCTTGTGCGTGTGGGTATGGCCAATATGAAGACATGCTGGAATGATTCTACCTAAATTAAAAATTTCTGTTGTAGGCTTATGTAATCCACTCCTAATACTTCGATCTTGTCGTTTCGGCTTTTTCGTAGTGACTTGGTGTGGGGACTCGACTTTTAACCCAAGGCATCATTCATGCAGAGCTTGTCCATTTGGTCGGTGTAGAAAGCGTTGAAGTTGATTCGGTGGACGAGGTTCATGAAGCGGTCTGCTGTATTCTTCTTGGCCATGTTGTTGATTTGCTTCAGGAAGGATATGAGCAGGCCGGTGAACTCCAGGTCAAAGCGTTTTACCCGCTCCGAAAACGTATCGGTTGGATCCAAGGTACTCTCCACCTAGCGGGAAGCAGAAATTCAAATTCGTTACAAAAAGCTTTCGTTAATTCCGATTTTAGAAAAGAACTAAATAATCAAAAATAAATTATATAAGAATAATATTTTTGTAAGATAACGTCTAAAAAATGTTTCAAGTCTGGGTTTTATTTGTTAGACCAAATCTCAAGCAAAATTAAATTAATATTTTTTTAAAATATATAACACATAAATAGTTCTATTTAAGTCAGTGCTCGACGGGGCCCTATTCCAGGGGCATAGAAAATTTCTCTACCCGAGCTCTGCCGTTCACACACAGTATAGAACGTATGAAACATCATGCTCGAAGCCTACTTTCTGCTGTTCGTTAGTTATACTTATGCATTAAAATCATATCAATGTATTGAGTGCCGACCACTGATTTAAATTGAAAAATTAATAAAATGTAGAAAATAAACCATTTACTTATTCAACAAAAGACATACATACGTATGTATGTACACCAATATTAAAAAAAATATGAATGTCTATTTCTAAATACTTCATATTTGTAGAGTAAAGTAATAATATGGAAATGTACATGGATTATCTATGTTTAATTTAATTTATTTATTTATTTCATTAATTTACGTTTTAGGGAATTATATGTTTATTTTAATTAATTTCTTTAAATTGTAAGCAAACGGTAGAAATCCAGATCCACCAACGAAAAGGCACAAATCGCCCTTTTGAAAAACTTTGATTTTCCCAAAACACTGTAAACCTATCTATAGGACAGTGATTTTATAAGATTTACAAGCGAAAGTCCAAGATGACCTAATTTACCAATGGATATGTTTCATATTACGTGCAATTTTGGGTTACTATAAAAAAATAAAAATACTCAGTCGAGAGCAGTTCCATTAAACTCAAACGAAACTGCATTTATGGATGTTAAAAATCAAGATGTTAAGGAGAGTGGGGGACATGCATATGGGCCAAACTCCCAAAGAAAAAAAGGGGTAAACAGAGAAGAATTACGAGAAAAAAAAGAAAAGGGAAAGCACAGTCCATATAGTACCTGTGGCCGGTGCGAGCATTCCGGATCGGACTCTGAGCTGTCCGTGCTGTCGTCACTGCTATCGCAGACCATGGACTTGAGCTCGGCGTCCAGAAAGAAACGCTGCGAGCGCTGTGAAGGTGGTGCACGGAATCGGGACATTATTCGGGTTTCGGATTGGATTTGGGTTTGGATGCGGTGATAGAGGGGCAACAGAGCAGAGAACAAGACGAGACAGGTATTTAAAGAATCGCGGAAACGGCAAGAAATCTTACCTGAATAAACTCGCAGAACTTGAGACAAATCTTGCAGAGCTTGAAGATGGCACGGTTCAGGTGCGAAGATTCCGTTAGCATGCAGTTCTTAAGACATGAGTCTAGGAAGTCCTGGTGCAGTCGAAGCACATTGTCAACATTCTCTACCTTCTTCATCTTCTCTATAAAGATGTGCCAGTTGGGCTCGATGATTTCGATCATCATGTAGTACTCAAGGTTCTGGATGGCGTTCATCATGCGCTGACGCAGTGTGAACGCCGAGCGGTACAGCTCCGCCGCATGCGGCGAAAACTTCTTGGCTATGGAGTTCTCCTTCCAGATTCTGAAAACAAAAAGGCGTTATGGAACTAACCAGCTGAAAAGGGACTGCGACGACATACTTGCAAAGCTGCCGCTCCACGTGCTTGCAGTAGAAAAGCTGCCGGAACAACATCTGGTATTTGGAAATGGCTATGTGGTTAAGCACCAACGAGACCGGCCACTTGACCTCGTAGGTAAAAGCGAAGCACTCGAGACCACTGAGGTCGAGGCGGTCCTGGGACTGCCAGTACTCCTCTTTCTGATTCATGATCTTGGACATCTGAGTGACCAGGTCATAGGTGAGCAGCTCGCAATGCAGGTCGTCCTTGTAGGGATCGTTGCGGGCGGATGAGAGACGCAGAGTGAGCCCCAGCAAATTCTCTAGTGTCATGGGCAGCACTAGGTCCACGTTCTTGGACAACTCGTCCTCGCAGGCGTCCATAAACTGCATGGTGAAGTCGCCCTGGTTGAGCAATAGGTAACGTTTCACCGACTGCAGATGGCCCATTAGGTCGTTCTCAGTCAGCAGAACGTCCAGCAGCATGCGGGCCGCAAAATAGTACGCATCATTGATCACAGTCACATGACGCTCACTGCTCGGGTCGAACTCAAGCTCCATCTGCTGCGTGGGCATCACTCGCTTGCCACACTGCCGGATAACGTTCAGGTACTTCCCAGTGCGCAGGATCTTGTCGGAGTATTTTTCCAGGAACGTTGGAATGCGGTCGCGGCGAACGGTGTAGCGCTTCTCCCAGTAGTCGTCCGAGTAGTGCTCCGGCAGCTCGTTGCGGTGAATCACCTCGTTGTCCTCAACGAGAAACTCCTGCCCGCGGTCTACAATCACTCCCTTTTGGATCCAAAGCTGCAACATTTGCATGTACGGTTCGGCCGCCTTACGTGTCAGTCCAATGATCAGTTGCTGGGCAGCTCTGTCGCCTTCCAGTCGCTTTATTCGTGCGTGCAGGTGTGACAGCACGGCTGCACCCCGCAGCTCAGTTAGCTGCAGGTCCACCAGCGACGTCCAAATCTCCTCCATCACCCACTTTGTTGGATGCAGGTAGAATAGCAGCTTCTGTACTGTGAGCTGCTGCATTTGCAGTTCCTGCTCCGCTTGGATGAGTAGCAGCTGGTAGGGACAAAAACGTTGTAAGCCGAAATCGTGGACAAGGACATGTAATTCTACTTACATAGAAGTCATGGGTCAGGTTTTGCAGAGCCTCGTTCAACGAGTTGATAACCTGCCCTTGGTTGTTCGTCTCAGTGACAATCCTTTGAATGCCCACGAAATGCGATGCCAGTGGAAGAATTTCCCGCACCAGCTCTACTAATGAGCGGTCCAGCTGCGCGTGAACAGTAAAGCTTGTCTCGAAACGGCTCACACCGTCGCTATCTGGATCAGAGGTGATGGGCGAGATGAAACTGCCGCGCACGCCCGTCAGACAGTATAGAAGCTCCGTGAGCACCACACGCTGCTGGCCATTTAAAGGAAGGGCACCAATCTCGGGCTGTGGCATCTTGGCACCCTCAACATTGCAATAGTCCCACAGCATATGAGTGCGATATTCGTCCGGAGTGCCCACCGGCGGTGCTATGTATGGAGCGCCTCCACTCCGTAGGCTGGTAGCCGACTTTCCTCCAAGCAACTCGCCTCCAAGGGAACGAGAGCTGCCTATCGAAGTGTTGGAAACGGCGTTTAAAACGCGTTCCTTAATCTATGAAGTAGATTTTTGGAGTTATTAAACAGTTTTCAAGCGTAAGTTATCTTACCACACTTAAACCACATCGCTCCCGGTCCAGCTCTTCCTTGGGTTGTGACTCCTGGCTTTGAAGCGGTTGCGAGTGTTGGGGCTTGCCAAACACATCTTGGCCGGCGCTGGCGTCGCCGTCAACAACCTTGCGGTTGTTTACAGGTGTCGATGTCGGAATGGCTTGGGATTTGCGTGGCTCCAGGACGTGGTTGCGAACGGAGTCGGCATGACCGCGACCTGACTCGACTTGACTTCGGGTGGATTCGGAATGACTCCGAGCAGACTCGGTCTGACTCCGAAGGTCCTCGGCGTTACTGCGAACGAAGTCAGCTCCAGCAGCGGAGGAGGAGGAGGTGGTGGATGTCGAAGCGATCGAGGTCGCGGAGGCGGAACCAGATATGGAGGAAGAAGAAGACTTTTTTGAGGGCGACTTACTTGACAGGCTAGTCTTCCTGGGGCGGCTTGAGACGGAAGCCATGCCTATTAGACGGGGCGGAAACGGGGCCTTTAATCTCTCGTCGTTACTGTACCGCTCGGCGAAGACGAGAAGTGCAAACATAGGATCTTTTCTGAAAAAAAATATAACATGAATGTGTTTTTTCTGAATGATTAAAAATGACAAAGTTTAGGTACTAACGTCCTGAGAATCTCCGTAATCTCTTTGGTCACCTCCAAAAATTGTGGACGCTTCCTGCTGATGGTCACCAGCACGTCGATCAGCTTGTCGACGGACAGGCGGCGGTCATACGTGGCGCGGAACTCCCGAATGATGTCGTCCGGTGTAATGGGTGTCCTATTGTAAAAGAAAAGCAGTAGTGTTATGAGCTTGCACCTGAGCACTCTTGCCCTCTTACAGCACTTACTGGGTCTCTTCAATAAGATCCGCGAGTATTTGGCGCACCGAGTCGTTTGTAAACATCGTGGCTTTAGCAATTTGTTGTTGCAGCTGTAGGGACAACGGTACAATTCACAGTTGTTGGCTTCGGATGCAGAGGAATATCCGATTGCTCTTGAGCCCGCTTTTGAGTGTTTTCTTGTCGCAGGCGAGCAGGGTTGCCACGTGTTAGGAAGTCACTTAACTTTCTAGCACGAATTAGATAGCGTTTTTCCTCTTCTTGGTACGTAGCAATCAGAATTAATAAACGATATTAAGCAGTCAAAGAGGCGCAAAAAATAATTGAAAAAGTAAGATAGCAGAAAAGTGTTACCACTGCTCAAAATGAAAATTTCCCTAGAGTGGCAGCACTAGAACTGTGAAATGGTCACGTTCCGCAGTGAAGTTGTCACTATTTTACAATTACAGTAGTCTTCCTCCCATTTTTCAATTACCTTTTCCAATTCAGAGTATGAATTTGTTTTGAAATGCGCGAGGGTAATCTAAGGAAAAAATGGAGAATTAAATTGGCCAAGCCTAGCCACCATTCACTATAATAATACTTATACATTTAGGCAAATTATATTTAAATAAAAACCATGCAAATAAGTTTGGGAGCGCCGTTACCAGCGTAAAATGCACTCTGCTGATATTTAAAAATAACCTAATATTTAAAACAAAAAAATACACCTTTTTTTTTAAATATTACCTCAAATTTTGAGGCGTGTAATAAATTAAATATTTTATATCCTATTTTGGGGGAAAAAAACAGATTCACGATATAAATGTAAGCTTTTTTTATGTTGATGCTATCGATATATCAAGAAGCAGAATATCGATATATTGATATATTATCAACAGCCCTATTATTATCAACAACCCTAAGCCGCAGCTGAAATCCGTGGGCGTTTGATTGAGAGGGCGGAATCCTCTGGCAAGGACTAGCACCATTACCAACCACGCAACATGTTTCCCCACCTGAAAGGCCAGGGGCATCGTGTAAACCTGGAATTGCTGCAGGAGTCCGCTTGCCGGGAATTGACGAAGCTGCTAGATGGCATAAAGGGCTGCAAGGCTATAGTGCTGGACAAGGCTATGATCGGACCACTGGATTTGGTCACTCGTCCAAAGCTTTTCAAGGATCGGAACCTCCGGCTGCTGGCCCTGAGCCCAGACTTGCCAAGAGACGTCAACAACGTTGTGTACCTGGTGAGGCCGCAAGTGGCGCTTATGGACCTGTTGGTGGGTCATGTCAAAGCCAGCCCTCCTGGTAGCCGCAAGTTCCACATCATTTTCGTTCCACGCCGTTCCTGCTTGTGCATCAGCCATTTGGAAAACAGTGGAGTGCTTAACAGCTTTGGTCAAATCACCGAGCTTACCTGGAACTTGTTCCCGTTAGATTCCGACGTGGTCACCATGGAGCTGCCGTATGCATTCAGAGACGTGAGTGTCGACGGAGACACCACTTCGCTATATCAAATGGCAGTCGGCCTTGTGCAGCTGCAGCGGCTCTACGGACGCATCCTCAAAATTTATGGCAAGGGCGAGCAGGCGCACCGGGTGTGGGAGCACGCCAAACAGCTGGGTCGCGATGATCGTGCGCTGTACCATGGCGACAAAGGCGTTATTGATCAACTGATATTGTTGGACCGAAGCATTGATCTGCTTAGCCCCCTGGCGACTCAACTAACCTACGAGGGGCTCATTGACGAGTTTTTCGGCATTCGGGAGAACAAGGTGACGCTGGCAGCAAATCTGTTTTCTTCTGAGGAGTCAGCGGGGGGTAATGCAAACGATGAGTCTGTGGGGGGAAACGCAAATGGTAGAGGCGAGGGCGTTGACTTGGAGACCTCCCTTAGCGACCCCCAACAAAAGACTCTGCTTCTGCACTCCGGGGAGCAGCTGTACGCTGAACTGCGAGACAAGCACTTCAATGAGGTTACCAAGCTTCTTGCTCGCAAGGCGCGGGAAATCCACGCACAGATGCACTCTAATTCGCAGAACACAGAAATAAAGGTAATGAAGACCTTTGTGGATAGCTTGCGGCAGTTAATGACTCAGAAGGCGGAAATCTCAAAGCACACTTCCATTGCGGGTGTGCTGCATGAGAAGGTTAACGCCTTCGACTTTTCCGACGATCTGGCAGCTGAGCAGGAGTTTATGGTGTGCGAGGACCTTGACAAGCCAAGCGCTTACATCGAGGATCAGATCGCCAGTAAGGCGCCACTGCGCACTGTTCTCCGGCTTCTGTGCCTGCAGTGCACAGCCGCGTCTGGGTTCAAGGAGAAGCTACTCAGTCATTACAAGCGCGAGCTCGTGCAGGTTTACGGCCTAGAGGTCCTGCTCACATTGAGCAGTCTGGAAAAGGCGGGACTTCTGCACCAGCAGACGGATTCCAGGGCATATGCCGTTTTGAGAAAGGTAAAAGCCTCTTACGTACATTATTTTCCAATAAAGATTCTTCATAATTGTTACCCAATTCGCTTCTGGGTTTTTGCAGACTCTTCATCTCACTGTGGACGACAACGTGGAGGTGGAACCGAAGGACATCAGCTATGTGCACAGCTTCTACGCCCCGCTGACGGTCCGACTTGTGGAGCATACTCTAAAGCCACTGGGATGGCAGAGCCTAAAGAGCCAAATCACAAATCTGCCGGGGCCCACATTTGAGGACTTTCAGGCGCAGCTGGTGGGCATCGGAGGACGGCACACAGGAGGCATGGTCGGCGAAGGTTCGTTGTTGCAGGTGCCTCGAGTGGTGCTGGTATGTTTTGTGGGTGGTTGCACGTTCGCCGAGATCGCGGCACTGCGCTTTCTATCAGCCCAGGAGGACAACAATGTGGAGTTCTTGATCGCCACCACGAAGGTGGTCAACAAGAATTCCTTTCTCGACAGCCTAATGGGATCATGAGGTCGGCGCCTGAGCCGTCTAGAGGCCCATCGTCTGTCCAGCGACCATGGACTGGTGCGCGGATGAAACGCGTCGGGGCCGCTGAGGCCGAGACCGAAAAAGAAGGGCAAGCGGCACAGCGCGACGGCTTATGGATCGGAGCCCGCGGAGTAGGGCCTAAAATTGGAGTGCCGCATAGCCGTACTGCATAGAAAATATTTTTAAAGCATATATTTTTCGATTTCAGCATTTATCTTTGTATTCTCCTTTATGATATATATATATATATATTTATATGCATATATTCCAATTACAACTTCCGATGTGCACCCATAGGGGTAAAAAAAGTATTCAATATTACATTATCTAGCCACTTCAAAGAGTTACAGTTGCCACAAACGATTATAAGTGTTAAATGTGTGTACTCCCGTCACCCTATCAAGAGAACTCACATATATGGTCTGGAAAACTGAATTGGATTTGCAGTTTCGCAGTGCATACCTTCAATGTACATACCCGTGCTTCAGATTAATGAAATATTTTGTCATAAGCTTTACTTCATCTTAATATGAAATATTGAAATCCGTTATTCAAATTCTAAATAAATGTAAACTAAACACTCATCAAGCGTTTTTCATACCGTCCTAATAAGAATAATAAGAAGACGGCCGCAGATGCTGGCTACGGTTCTAAAAAGGCGATGCCCCCATCGAATGGTATTAGATCTAGTGAGATCATACAGCCCGAAAAAAGTAGCTCTTCATCTTTAAAATGGACCACGAGCCCCAAACTTCTGATTCATTAGGCTCTTGTGGTTAAATTCCAGTGACGAACTATCCTACTATTAAGTCAATTCTTGCCACTCAAAAAATAAGTGTAAGTGTATCCAACGTGCACTGGGAAGAAAGATAATTGAAAGAGCCAGGCTGCATTTTTTAGGCTGCACAATTTTTAATTTCCATTGAAAAAGTAAATATTTTCAACATCAGTCTGTGGCTTTGACATTGGAATTTAGCCTCGTCCAGGTCTGACAGCTAATGATGATAGTAACAGAAGGGGTAGACTGGGCAGAAAGTCTTAACAGTCTTCCTAAGACTTTCACATCTCCTTACCTACGAAATGGAATCTTCACAGGCGACTGCCTCGACAGGAACCAGCTCAGAGATCAAACAAAGATCACATGCGTGCAAGGTTTTACTTTTAAATAAGTTTTATTTTATTGACATTGATGTGCATCAATTTAATTCTTATTCGTTCGCCTTCTTCTTTACGATAATTGCAAAAATACAATTCATATTGTTATAATTATAATAAAAAAAATGTATAAACATAAAAAATATTACATATTTTGTCTCCCTGGCTGCTCTTCGGCTTCTCTCCCTTTCTGTGTCGTGTACCTTATGTTTTAAAGGCGGTAAGGGTTGGTTGTCGGTTGTCTGTCGTCGATGCTTGGAACAGTCGAGACATGCCACAGGAATTAGCAGCCGCGTACCAGAGTAGTACACGAGTGTAATAATGACATTTATAGCGTCACCCTTGACCCTTATGAACTGAAAACGGAAAACTGAAGAAGTGAACTGCTGTGTCCGGTTCTGGTCCGGAATAAGTTTTGATTCGTCGTCTGCTTTATCCTCCTAGCCACCGAACGACTATTTAAGATATCTTCGAACATAAGTGTTTAATTGGATTAGTAATTGGATTTCCCGCATGCTACTTTGATCTGTTCACTAGAGTGTAAAATGCTACAATTGGTTTTCTTCATTTTTTCTTGTTGTATAATTTTCATTATGAATGTATCTTTGTGTGTGTATGAGTAGCTCTGTGTTAGTTTGCATAATTTGCAAGATACGACCAATCGAAAATAACATTTTCGTTAACTTAAATCTTTAAATAATTAAACGTTATATGCATTAATTTTCTATACAATTTTTATTGTTTTGACTAAGCATTTTGCAATTTGCATTAATTAACTCTAAAATAGGCTTATTTTAGTTAATGTATTTATTACTTTAAATCCTTTTGTTATAACAAACAAAACTAAATTGTAAACAAAACTAACTTTATGCATTAGAATTTTTGCTTCTTGCTTCTTGCTTCTGCTTCTGCTGTGTTCATAATCAATTATCAATTTGGCCATAAAACTTTCGCGTACAGCAAATAAAATGATAAATTGGTAAATGAAGCTTCTGCGTCCTTCGTTCTCCGTTAAAAATACATTTTTTATCAAACCAAAATAAGAAAAACATAACGTAAGTCGGGAATTTGGAACCTAACAACATTCAAATGGCAATCGACATGTTTCCAGGCAACTGCGACCGCAGTACCTCCCGGCTATCAATTGAAAATAACATTAAGCTCGCAAATTTGAATGCGAATGCGATTTCGATTGCGAATCAAACCGAATCTCGCGATCAGTACTCGCGAGTGTTTTAACAAATACACACAATAAATCTATTTACGACATTGTTGCGGTGCGAGAGCGATGGTTAACAAAACCAAACTGTGATTCACTCAGTTACTCGGTAATAATATCAAATTATAATTTTAACGTAAACTTATTCACTTTGCGTACAAAATTTTGAAGTCGTTCTCTCCACGCTCCTTTGTTTCATTTGTGTCTTGTGTTATTGTTTTTGTATGACATTTAGGCTTACATTTATAATTATGTATTTATGTTTTCTGTTTCTTGTTTTTTTGTTTCCTCCGTATTCTGTTTTTGATTGCTCTTGTATTTAATTGTTGCAAATTGAATTATTTGATGATCTTTTTCTTGTCTTCTAGAGTCGAAATTTCATTAAATACAAAACTATTGCAGCTCCTGCCTCGCCGGACCTCGAAGCTGATAGAAAATACTTGGGGCTTTCGTGCTTTTGCGCAACTAATTGTTTGCTTCTCAGTTTCTACAATGACAACGCGACAACGCAAGCCAGGACTCCTGGATAATTGAAAGAGCCAGGGCCTATTGCTGCGACTCCGAGTGGTTTTGTTGGGATCGATTTGTTGCTGACGTGGCTGTTGGTGTTGGCTTGTAGTTTCCATTAAAATTTAAGTAGACCATATTACTAAACACATATTGCGATTGTTGTTGTTGGCATTGTTGTGGTTTTTGTTGTTGTTGATGATATTGTGGTTGTTGTTGTCTATGCTATAGCGAACCAGCCGGAAAACTTGTGGAACTATTGCTATGGGCTAAACTAATCATGGATCCAGACAAACTTCCCTCCTCATCTGGATAGGCTTCACGGGATACCTCAATTAGCGATAAAGTGCTGCAAAGAGATCGATGCGAATGGATTGTTCAAAAATCATTTACAAGCCCCCGCACTACTCAATACTAATCACGTATGACTAAGTCTTTATGTCAGAGCTTATGAAATGGTAGGATTTTTTACCTGAAACCTAGGGAAATCGATTCGTTATCAAATGCTTCCAACTCTTTAGTATGTTTCTCGTGTTTCATGCGTAACCGCTCGGCGCGTTCCTGATTAAACTGCTGCAGCTCGGCGTCCATCTGCGCGGGATGATACGAAGAAGTCAGTGGGGGAACTATATCGAGTTAGCTGGGAAACTTACCTTGTTCTCGAGAAGACCACGACGTACGCTAACGCGGTTCTCAAGCTCTCGGCGTTCGCGATCGCGTTGCTCCTGCGCCTGCTTTTTGTTCTTGTTCTGGTAGGCGGTCAGCATCTCCAGCTCGTACTCCAGCTGCTCGTGGGTCCGTTGGCACTCGATCACCTGGCTCTCATCCAGTTTATAGCTTTGACTCTGGAACATGTCCGCAATGCTCTGCTCGTACTGCAAGACACGTATTGTACGTTCAGTTTGAGTGAAAACGAATAAATAATAATGTAGTGTATTAGTGTAGTCTCGTAGCTTGCATGAACAGGTCTATCCCAAAGCTATTTTTGCTTTGAATTTCCATTTTTATATTGAACTAGTAATTAAAGCACTTGAAAGTCTCACCTGTTCTCCCAGCAACGTCAGTTTTCTGTGTTTCTCTTCCTTAAGCTGTTTAATGACTTCTTTTTGTTGCTCTTTTGGCGTCGTCTGCAGCACTTGGGCCTTGTAGCGCTTGTATTGCTTCGTCTGCGTCTTGCACGTCTCCCGGAATTGCTTCCGGATGAGGAGCTCCTTTTGCTACGGAAAGTAACAAATTCAAAAAAGATGGTGGAGATACATAAGTATTACAGAAGAGAAACAATTTTAACGGGAATCATCGCGAATGTACCTTCAGGCTCTTGGGCTGCTGCCTCAGTTCGAGCGCGTGCTTCCGCACCAGCTCCTTCTTGATGCGGTCCATGTAGTCTTTTTGATTGTGCAACTCTGTGTCGTGTTGCTTGTTTATCTGCAGCAAAGAGTTGGGAGATGTCAATGGCTGAGGGAATACGAAAAGGCAACAAAAAAAAACCCACCTGCTCCTCGCGCAACTGGTGAACGCTCTTCTGCTGACGGTACTCTAGTTCCTGTGTCTTTTCGTGGTGCTTTAGAAGCATGGCATGGGCCTGCTGCAGCTGCTGCTCTTTTTTACTGAGCTCCTGAGGGCGAAGATTAAAGACAGTGTTAGAAACGGATAGTGTTCAAAGCGCTGGCCTACTTACATCGCGCAGTTGCTGATCCTCGTGCTCGTGCTGCATGATCATGCGCTTGCGCTTGAACTTCCGCATCTCCAGATCGATGTACTGCTTCTGCGCCTGAAGCATGCGCTGTTCCTCCTGCGCCTCATGCTGTTTCAGGGTGTCCTTCTGCGACTGAAGGGTAAGGTCGCGCTGCCGCTTGGGCGTGGAATCGTCCATGGAGAGCTCCCGCTTCCAGCGCTCCTTGTTCGCCTTGTACTCCTTCTTTCGGTTAAGGTCATATGCCTTGCGGTCACCCTCTTGCTTCTGTGTAATCTCTTTGTGTAGTTTCTTCTCGGCGGCGCTCGTCTGCTTGACGCGGCGCTCCACGTCCTGCTGGTGCTTGCTCTGCAATGCAATCGTGGTTAGGGATACTTCCGTTCCTAGTAGGAGGCTCCATCTCAAACTTACCTCTAGCCGTTCGAGTTCTCTGGTGAAGTTGTGCAGAAGCGTATCATACTCCTTGTCCAGAGCCGTCTTGTGCGCTTCCATGTCGACCTTGCACTTCTCCTCCAGCTTAACCAGATGCGCTTGGTGCTCCCGCCGCATCCTCTTATAGCCGGACATTTGTTCGTGCATCTCCTCCTGTGGAATTTCGCGTGGTGGTGTCGGAATCGGTATCGGTGTCGGTGGAACGGATCAGAGAATGCATATGAGTTAGAGGTGGAAATGGGTGATGCCAAGCTGTTTTGATAACAGCATCGGGTCCTATACTGGACTACTGTTAGCTGCAACTTACAAGACCGCCGGCCAAGCCAAGGTCCAGCTCAAGCTCCAGCTCGGCCTTAACCTCAAAGAGCGCGAACCGCGCGCAAAACATCACACTTTGGCCTCTGGGGGTCTCTCTATACAATTCTACGGCACTACGTACTAACTACGTATAACTTAGCTCCAAAACAAAAAAAAAAAAAAACACAAGCAAACAACATAGACGCAATGTCACTAGATATCTTCCATAAGAAACGCAATCAAGTAACTCCCAATGAAAATGCAAGTCAAAGCGCGGCAGTGTGACCCCCCAGCGGGCGTGGGCGGAGGTGCAATGGTGTGTGTGTGGCGGTGTCCACCTAAATGCGTTGTAAGTGTGACCTCAAGCAGTCCAATGTAACGGCTCTTATTAACCCTTCCGAGTCTACCAATATGGAGCCACACCGAAAGATTTCGATTAACCAGATGGGTGACGACAAAAAGTACTGATTGAAAATAAACTTGAAGGATTCGCAAAGGCGAATATAACAAATGGATAAATAACGCATCGAATCTTTTGAGAACTGTGCGACCGAACTAAAAGTTAGCTGTTAAAGACTTGAGTGCAGAAATCACGACCCTCCAAGGTTAATCAGAAACCTCTCGATATTTTATTGCAATTTTGAGAGACTAGCTTAGGTACCAAATCGAACATGAACATAGCGAAACGAAACGGCTTACGTTTGGGCTAGCGGCTAGCACATGAGTACATGTAACACATTCTCACAACAAAATGCGGCAAATGGAAGCCCTTCAGAGCGGTAGTGGTGCCAGAGACCAGTGTGGTGGGGTGGTGGCTTGAATTCAATGGCAGATGCAACTTTGACGGCTAACTACAGAAAGTACATGGTGGCAGGAAATGCTTGTGAATCATTTATTGCTTTTGTTTATTGGCGCCTCCGCCTGGGGCTATGCAATTACACAGGGACAACGGCGCTTCTTTGGCGGATCTGGGACTTTCTGGTTGCCGATCTTCTGCTCGCCCTCGCTCTGCCTGAGGCTGTGGCTCCGACTGCGGTCGCCGCCACAGAGTTGCGAACAGAGAATAAAGCGCGCCTGTTCGAGGATGTGGGATAGAACAACAAAAACACAACAAAGAGAGCATGTAGTAGAGGGCAAATTAGGCGACGCGAAGGTCAGAAGCATGGGGCGAGCGGGTATAGGGGAATGGGATGGCTGAGAGGCTGAACGAACGCCTGGTCTGAACGCCGGTGCAGACAACAGGGCAACAAAAATCTGGAATGGTATGCGATCGATGCCCGATCTGCGACAACTTGATTTGGGGCGAGTCCCTAACGGCGAGTGCTCATGGGTGGATGGTCTATGCTGCAGCGGGCTGCTCCCTCGGGATATCGATACCCCAAAAGGAAAAGATTGGAAAATCGGGACAACGCACCTGCATGTGCTCCTTCTGCTGCTTCGTCACGATGCTCGTCGTCCGGATGGTGGCAAAGTTGTTGGGTCCGTGGTCGTTCACCGCGTTCGAGATGGCTTGTTGCGAGGAGGCTGAGCTAGCTGCGAAGACGGCCGCCTGGGCGGCGGGCGTTGTCAGATAGCGCGGCTGGATGGGCTGCATCCGATCCGCCAAGGGACCTCCCGAAGCCGGAGAGCCTCCGCTGCTGCCGCCTGTGCCTGTGCTGCCAACTCCAACCACTCCATGGCTCGTAGTACCCAAGTGCGGCAACACGGAGAGCGGAAGAGCCGGCGCAGGGGCAGGGGCCGGAACTACTGATGCCGAGTTCGTGGGCGTCACGTTGTTGTTCATGCTGTGCATTATGTTAGGCATCGGCGGCCGGTTGCGATGGCGCGAGGAGTTGCGGGACACGGCACCGGCCGGGCCCGCCTGCGACTGCTGACCACTGGGCCAACTGGGCTGAGGCTGTTGGTGCGGGTGGTGGTGGTGGTGCATGGACACCGCCGCGGCGGCTGCTGCTAGCTGGTGGTGGTGTGCCGCGATATGGTGATGATTCTGGGCCGCAGCTGGTATGGAGTTGGATGAGGAGCTCTGTCAGAACAGGGGAAGAAAGCGGATAAATGAATGCGAATGCGAGCAGGTAAAGGGGGCCGTGCTCACCTGACTACTGGCCGCCGATACACCCACTGAGTGTATGGAGTGTTCCGAAGTAATACTATTGCTCTTGCTGCTGTCTCCGCCGGCGTGGTCGTCCTGCTGGTCGTCTGCGTCGCCCACGGCGCTCTCCGTCTCGCAGGTGTCTACCATGAGTATCTTCTTCATCTTGCGGTAGTTGAGGTTGTCTAGCTCCCGCACCGCCGACTTAGTGCGAGCTATCAGTTCCAGCAGCACGGTCTCGGAGCGGGGCCTGGTCACGTAGGCGTGGGTAAGAAGTCTGGCAGATGAGGGTCGCTCCGCGGGCATCTTCTTGAGGCACAGCTCCACGAAGCTGCAAAAGGCGTCCGACCAGTCATTTTTCTGCAAGACAGAGGTTACATGGTCGGGTTAATGCACTCAAATGGCAATGCTATTTTGTTATCGACTTTATCGAAGAAGAACATCCTACCCCACCTTGGCACTCTCGATATTCTTTTTTAGCTTTAGCTTTTATTATTAAAATACGAATGTGTTTGTTTTAAATAAAAAGTTTTGATGGTTAAGAACAAACGATAATTCAGCATAAACTGAACTTTCTTTAGAAAGTCACATGCCCCAGAGAACACAGCACATATCTTCATCATTCTTAGGTTCTATTCAACTATGCCAGTAAACTGCAAAGTCCCAAACAAATTATTTCAAAGCAAAACTCACCGGAAGCGTGGGCGACTCGTTCTGCGCAATGTGGTAGAGTGCAGACATGGCGTTCATGTTGAAGTAGGGTGGCTTGCGTTCCGCCAACTCAATACAGGTGATTCCCAGCGACCACACGTCAACTTTCCCGTCGTACTGGCCCTCGTCCATGGCCAGAATCACCTCGGGGGCCATCCAGTAGGGAGTGCCCACGAAGCTGTTGGCCGGACACTTGATGGCTGCGCTGCCGAAGTCAGCGAGCTTCACCACGCCGTTGTCCGTCAACAGAATGTTTCCAGCCTTGATGTCGCGGTGGATGCGCCCCAGCGAGTGCAGATAGCTAAGCCCGCTGAGCACGCCCAGGCAGATGGCAGCGATTTCGTCCTCGTGAAGGGGCTTCTTGTGCACCTCAATGATGTCCGAGGCGGAGCCCACGCAGTACTCCATCACCAGCCAGGCAGTCGACTCGCGCAGGTAGCAGCCCTTGTACTCAATGGTGTTGGGGTGGTTCAGTTGGCGAAGGAAGCTGTCGGCATGTAAGCAAAGTTATTCGTGGATTTTGCTTGCAATGGGTGGCACTACTAACCGTATCTCCTTGAGTATGTCCTGCCACTTTTCCTGACTCTGCTTGCCCGTGTACGACATCTTTTTGATGGCCACGATCTCCTTGGTGAGGTTGCACCGCGCATAATAGACAGCCCCGAACGAGCCATGGCCGATTTCGCGCAGGTCCTCGAATATCTTTTCCGGATCATGCTTGTTGAACAGGTCGGCTATTTCCGGATCCTTGAGACTACCAGGTCGTGCCGAAGGCATGGCTGTTTTTCATGCTCTTCGTCCGTGGCTGAGTGCTCTGCTCTTCCGTTCTGCTTGGCTCCTGTCCCCAACTTCGCCGGCAACGCACCTTGATTCTCTTGAATGTATCTGCGATCGGTAAGAGAAAAGAGGAGACGGCGCTCGGTTAGTCACAGTTGGGCTTTGCAATGGCACTTAGTCATCTCCCAAGAAGAACAGTATTTGTGGCAGAAGGCCTGCCTGATCTTACGGAAACCAGTGTGTGCAATGCGCGACAAGGGGTTCGAGGCTGTCATGCCCGTGTCTTTTGGGCAGCGACTGGAAAAGCCAAAAGCCAAAAGCTGGTTATCAAATCGATCAAGTGATTCACGCCTTGGCCCAGCCAACACTCACTCGCACCAGCGCGCACGGCCTGGCACAAATCATTCAGCATTCCGCACGCAGTACGGCCCTTATCAAACATTTTTTTACGGCTGGCCTCTTTACGGCTATTTTCTTTTCGCTTCTTTGTTGCCAACTTGCAGCGACCCTTCTCCTCGCGCTACCTACTACTGTCTTCTGCCAATCTTGACCCAGCAAGTGACAACAACACTTGCTCCCCAGATCGGTCGGGCCTGGGGTTGAGGGGAGGTGCGGAGCAGGGGAACCACACGTGCCCGGCCCATTGAAGGAGACTCTGCGACTCGGAGAGGCTCTCCTTGGCTAATAGACACAGTACAGGCGGTGGCACACACCCGCCTGCCCTTGGGCAGGTTGGATCAAGGGGCAACGGCACCTAGGGGTGGGTGGGTGCATTTGGAACCGTTGCCATTCCATAGGAACTCACAGGGTGCTACGGGGGACTGTCAAGCTGCTCCGGGGCGGTTGGAGGGTCGAGGGCCAGAGAATGGGGTTGGCGGTCTGGTCCTATCGTGGAGGAAACGGGCTTTGATTGTTTACCAGCCGAGCTCGCCTACATACTCGATATTGGTATTGTGCGACTGGCATTATTTACTCGCATCGGAACAGAAACAGAAACACGCCTATTTTTCGTAGCCACACAGACACTCTTGCACAAAGAGCAGCCATGTCGCTCTCACACCCGTGGAGAGCGTGCATGTGTGCGGCGCTGGTCGGAGAAGATTGTTGTTTTGCATTTCATGAGGCACAAGCCCAATTGAATTTGTGCTTTTTCGCTCAGCTCTGGCTCTGGCTCTGGCTCTGGCACGGGGACGGGCCCGGGCCCGGGCTGGCTTTTGTTTTGCGCCTCTTCATTTAAATTGCGGCAGTAAATTTTCTTCAGTTCGCTTTGATTTCGACTGCCTCCTTGGGTGCGGACAAGCCACACACGAAACACCGAACATCGAACATCGGAACGGCAAAGCACCGAGGCACCAAAGCACCCAAGCACCGAAAGACGTACCAGCCGTACGACGGCAGACGTCGTCATCGGCGAAGCTGTTCTTTTTCTCGCTCCTGCTTCCGTTTTCTTGCGAGCTGCAGCCCAGCAGTGCGGCATGTGCGGGACGCGATTAGGAATCGCTGCAAGCCCAGCTCCGCTCCGCTTTTCGGGATGTTTCATGAATTGTTTCGTTTAAATTGTTTTGCTTGCACATCGGCACACACACGGCCACCAAACAACACACAGACACACGGGCTCACGGGAACACACACAGACGCAGACGGGCGCTCGTTGGGAGCAGATAAATACACACAACGCGGTTGGGTTGTGTGGGTCTGGACTGTGTGGGCCTGCTCTTTCTCGCCAAATGGAAGGGAGGCTCGCTCCAGCCCAAATTAGATGTAACCCAAGCCTAGCCGTCTTGCCGAATTGACTCAGGGACGGACCCGCTCCTCTCAAGGATCTTTTCCGGCCAAAAAGTATTTAATCCACACATCCTAACCAAAGCGTACACCGAAAAAGAAGAGTATGCACATACACACACGCACCCGCACACCGTCACACAAGTAGAGCGAGAGCGAGAGAAAGAAAGAGAGAGACGTTGGAAAATGCATAAATCTGTCGGGGAAAATGGGGTTTGTTATATTCAAGGGCTTACATTTGGCAATTAATCAATGCTTGCTAATTTAGCAGAGCGGCTCGTTTTTCGATTTTAGCTATTTTAACTATATGCATTTTTCGCAGTGCGTCGCTTTCTTTACGTCTGCTCTACCCCACCGCTGTTATTTGGTTTTGCTCCGAATTGCTGCGATTCGCCCTGCACTACACACGGTTTTGCTTCACACGCCTGCACTGGCTACACATTTCGAGGGCGCCGAAATGACAGAATCATCCAACCCGGATGCAGTTTGACGGTTCTTTCGTACTCAGCTCAGTTCCAAATTTTCCTCGCTGGTTTTCTTAATTAAATTGTGTAAAGTTCACACACATCGAGCGGAGACTAGAGATGAGGAAACACCGACAGCATTATCGATACATCGATAACAGGAGCATGCAAATTTTTGCTCCATTCACAACGCTTACATGTAAATAGCCAAAGTAAAGGCTGTTACGCACTAAATCTAAATCGGTCTAAGATTGATGATAATAAAACAATATCCAGAATTTTAATAATAGAGTCTGAATTATTTGCTTCTAAATAATTGATATTTACATTTTTTAGAAAACATTTTCATGATATTTAGAATTCAATATTAGTTTTATTTGTTTTAAACTCGAAGAACTGAGGATGATCTAAAAATGAATTAATATTTACTGTAAATGGTGTAATACCGCTTCTAAAACAATTCTCTAATATAAATCAAGAAAAATTCCTTTTAGTAAATGTCAGCATTTTACAACACTCGCATGTAAATATAAGGACTAACGATTTTGTATTCTGTAAAATGTAGAAAAATATTGTCGATAAATTCAGGCAATTCGATGTCAAAGATCCTGGGAAGGGTCAAAATCGTGTAGAATAGTTTGCGTGAGCAATATACAAACACGACTGAATGCCGGGTGTGGCAGGAGAAATCACTAAATGGATATTTCACGGCCCTTCATAATTTAATCAGTTCGTCGTTTTTAAAGTTTGACTGTATTTTCATTAGTATGACCATAGAAATTCTAAAAGCGCGTCGCGTTTTGACAATACAATATCTCTCAGAGAACTTGTTGCAAATTTAAGCCTAGTACTCTGACGACGAAAATCCGCTGTCACACGTGTGACAGCGGCCAAACTCCATATAAAAAAACGGTGTAAAAAAAGGAAGAAGAATAAATTTTTGCCCCCTAGATTTTGCCGGTACTCTGAGGACGGAAATTATGGCTATCAAATTGAATGGCGTTGTCGGATCAAAAAAAGTAAACAGCTGATCTCGAGGTGTAAAAAGAATTCATTTTATTTATTTTGACAGCCAAAACATGGAGCGAAAATTGAAAGAGAAATATAAGAGAGAGAGAGAGACAGAGAAAGAGAACAGCTGCTCAGTATTACCCTTTTCCTTAATTTTTCTGGTCACACTAGCTCTGTAGCCAAATAAAGAGCGGTTTCGCTAGCACACGTGTGATAGCGGATTTTCGTCGTCAGAGTACTAAGCTTAATGTTTTAAAATATGTATTTAAGATTAATTATATTTATCGTTTTAATTTTAAGTATTTTTTGGTACTATAGAGACCGGAATCAATGTTGTTTATCAGCGGTCTCCGGGCCTCTCACAGATGGTGGTAAAATTGAAAAATATGTGGAAGGTTGTCAACGGTTAAACTTACAAGAAAAATATTACCATAAATCCCTAGACCAATAAATATACAACCTTGCTGAGCACAAGAGGTTTCTCTATCCTGATTGTTATTAGGTAAGAAAAAAATATAATGCATGAAATAGCTCCACGCTTAATTTATGCTTACTGCTTTTAGGAGATTAAAAATTACTCGTCTATTTTCCCAGACTAGCGAAGAAATAGATCTTGCTTAATCCTTACAGCATAAAAACTTGCTTATTAAAAAAAAAAAATTATTTTATTTTAAATTGGCAGTGTTGCCGAAAGTTTCTTCCTTAAAGATTATATTTTATAAATTAGTCCAATTTGATTTTTAGTGGTTTAAGAAACTAGATGCCTCCTTGTTTTTGAGTGTCTTCTCACCAGAAGATTGTAGCTTCACCAAAGAGTGAGCTCCACCAATCAATATAAGTCCCAGAAGGGGTAGTTATTGCCTTTTAAAAATGTTTTAATTCAAGCTCAAAATAAGCAGCATAAAATATACGGTAGTGGTCTGTAATTGTAAAAAAACTGTATTATTAAGAAGTTATTATAGAAAAGAAGTATCCGTTTTATTATACTCTTGCAGAGAGTATTATAATTTTGGTCAAAAGTGTGCAACGCAGTGAATTTAATTCGATAAAATCTGACGATCGTTTTATCAAATTATTTATTTAAAGATGTATTTTTCAATTTAAATGTAGATAGGGACCTGTAGAAATAAGTGTTTCTCATAGTTAATAGTACGTTCAATTTGTAGGCCAATACCATACTTTTGCGGAAATGTAGCTCATGTGTCTGTACAAGTGTAAGGCTGATGTAAGAGTGCGCGCGAGAAGAGAAGCGAAGCGATGCGAGAAGCGATGAGCAAAGCGAAAAGATGTCAGAGTGAGAGCTTTGCGAAAAGCCAGCTACATTGTTCTATTTTTTAGTTATTAATGGGACCGTGATGGATTCGAAAAAAGATTTTTTTGCTTCAAGTGCAACACTTAACTTTGTGTTAAAAAGAAAAAAGTGGCGTCCACCCGCTTAACTGCAGTAGGCACGAAAAAGGCGAGTTCAACAATTTATATAAAGCCTTGCGAAACCACCCAGAAATGTTTTTTAACCATTCACGGATGTCTATTTCGACTTTTGACTATATATTAAATAAAATTGTTAGTCGGTTGGAGAAGCTTTGGCCAAATTTTCTGAAACAACCCATACTGCGAGTTGAAGCGATAAAGCAGGTTGCAAACAGCTCTCACGCTTTGCTCTCGCTTTATCGCTTGAACTCGCAGCTCGGTTCGCTCTTACTCTGGCATCTTTCGAGCGATCGCATATGAAAAAGGTTGCAGTGGTTTATCGCTCGTTTTCGCTCAATATTATCGCATCGCTTCTCACGCGCACTCTCACATCAGCCTAACTTAGGTTGCCTAAGTCTTTCTGTATTCGACATAAAACGCCTATTACACGCAAGACACATTTTTTTGAATGTAATCAAATAATGTAAAGCTTTTGGTGCACATTAAAAAAAGATGCAGAAAATCTTTCTTTCAAAGCTTTATTTTATGATTTTATCCTGGTAGTCATCGTCTTCGTCTACATCGTTAAAATTTTTGATTATTTATTATTCCTTATTGGAGGATCAAAAGTACGTTTAAAACGAAATTTCTTTTGTATAATTTTGTATACCCGGTATTCGTAGAGTACAAGGGTATACTGTATTTGTGTGAACGTACGTACATATTTATTTCTTAAAATTTCTATTTTAATCTACATCTCTCTGCAGCACCAGTACAGAAAAACTTTTTTACTAAGAATAAGGTAAAAGTATTAAAGTTAGAAACCCATATTGATTACATAAATGTTGATGTATGCATCTTTTCATACCCTTTCTGTCTGTCTGTTTCTACGCAAACTCGCTTCGCTCTTACTCTGGCATCTTTCGAGCGATCGCATACTAGTCTCTCATTCTCAATTTTTAATTTATTAGCACGCAATATACATATAAGTAAAAACAGTCGGGATCGACCGACTGTGTATTATATCTGACATATAATTTTATCGAACATGTTTGGTGTTTGTGGAGTTGTAAGCATTCTATTGGATAGTAGGAAATTGGACCATAAAAATGAATGATCGGAAATGACCCAACTTTTGTGTTTTTGAAGGTAATAGGTTAGGACATTCTACAGATTATATTTTTGGCTAATTAACTCATCCGATCTACCCAATGTCACAAGGATGTGGCAACCAGTCCTTAATATTTGATTTTTTTCCAAAGTCGAGTTTTCTTTACTTCGAATTTGTTAGACAGAACTTTTTTTACACTAAACCCTCTTAAAATTAACTAACAACCTCCATACATATGTATGTACTTTATTTGCTTAACCTTAAAACCTTGTTAGTTAATTTTGGAACAAAGTTAAATTTAAAAACATTGGATATCGCAAAATAAAATGGAAAGATTAGAGACAAGGCAACCTTTATCGTTATCCCGAGGCAACCTTTCAAATGGATATAGTAAAATTTTCAGTCTGAAATGAGGGACTATTTTACCAAATGTATGTTTTTCCGGGGACGTTGGTTTTCCAAATTAAGGGTTGTTTGGTAAAGAAAACAAGCATAATTATATAATTTATTTATTCGCTGATTTATTTATTATTCGTCAAAGCTAACAAATCCTTGTTAGCTAATGTAAATTTCTGCAGGTTTTTAGAGTACTAATTAACTAATTATTTAATAGAAAATAGTGGGCGTGGCAGCTGGCAGCCGATCAGATTTCTAAAATTTATTCCGAGATTCCGCTCCATTCTCTCCAAAATAACTAATAGGAAGGACAGTGTTTTCAATGATATCATTTCCGTAAATTAGAATTTTATGAACACTTGCCGATATTGGCAACCAGGTGTATTACTCAATGATTATATCGGCAATCCTATAACAAAAGCAGCGTGCCTTCAGCGAGATATGTTGCCCTTCGCATTAGGAGGTAGTTTTGGCCGACCTACTGGCTTCTTGGTTTTGGGAAAATTTATAACAGTTTTGGAATTTTGCCAAACTGCATTTGCCAAACTGCATGACTTAAATTAGAAGAGCAACTCTTCCACATTTGTGTCAAGCAGTAGCAAAATTTTTTACTCGCTTGGTCTACGATATCGCTGTACTCTTTAAAATTCACTCCTGAGATGGAATCTTTAATAAAACAAGAAAGGAAAGCTAACTTCGGGCGGAGCCGAAGTTTATATACCCTTGCAGTTAAAACCTATATCCGGTCGCAAACATCGGATATAGTTGGCCGATCCTTATGGGAATATAAACATATAATCCAATTTATTACAATACAAAGTCTTAAAAAAGTCCCATACTTCTATCTTCAAACATACCAAAGTTTTTATTTCTACCAAAAACCATTTCCGATCGTTCAGTTATATGGCAGCTTTAAGATATAGTCGGCCGATCGTTACGAAATTTGGTAGGTTGGATCAACTGACCAAATAATAATATAAATCTGTAAAATATATATAATATAAAAAAATAAAAATATACAAAATACAAAATACAATCTGTACCAAGTTCCAGCTTTCTATCTTCAAAAACACGAAATTTGGGTCATTTCCGATCGTTTAGTTATATGGCAGCTATAGGATATAGTCGGCCGATCCTTACGGAATTTGGCATGTCGTATTATTTTGCCAAAGATAGCGCTCATGTAAAATTTGACTTTAACTCTAAAAAAACCCAAGTTATACCATTTCCGATCAATCAGTTATATGGCAGCTATAGGATATAGTCGGCCGATTCCGGTCGTTCCGACTTATATACTGCGTGCAAAGGAAAGAAGGGTGTGTGCAAAGTTTACAGTCGATAGCTTTAAAACTGAGAGACTAGTTTGCGTAGAAACAGACAGACGGACAGACTGACAGACGCACATACTCATATCATATCAGGAGGTGATCCTGATCAAGAATATATATACTTTATAGGGTCGGAGATGTCTCCTTCACTGTGTTGCACACTTTTGACCAAAATTATAATACCCTCTGCAAGGGTATAATGAAAGACAGCATTCTCCTTCGCGTATTTGCTTTGAACCATTTCGCAAACAAATCTGTGTTTGCCAAATTGAGGTTATGTCCTAAAAATGAAAAATTCTCGCAAAATCGAAAAAAGTGGTATTTTTAATTGGATTCATTCGAACAAGAATTTAATTCTCTACAACATACATTACATTTCGTGGATGGACTCTTCTGGAATCACTTTAAATCCCATATGGAACATGAAACTTTATCCAAAATATGCATTGCCAAGGCTACTTACATTTTTGCTCTATTAAGGGGACACCACGATTTTATTCTACAAATGACGATCACAAACATATAATACATACCACACAGATTGGAATTCATTTCAAAAAATGTTGTAATATTGTTTAGCTTTTTATTTTAATATATATTGCAAATTAATATGCAAATATTTAATGTGCAAATTTAATATTGCAGTCGCGTGTGCTTTGCAAATGCAACAGCTGTGTTTTTCAGCTGATTCCTTTGTTGTGGCGCCCTCTGTTGAATTTCTGTTATGCAACACTAAAGATTGGTAAATTGTGAATGCGTTGCACTGAAACTTATTTTAATTTTCCGACTTTCAGAAAATGGGTTTTGTTCAAAAACTGGTCAAAATCCCCATAGTGCCTATGGATAGAACTTGACATTACATTACATAATACCATATTTGTAAATGTAATTTGCATATTTGTGATTGAGACCTTGGAGTCAGTTCCCAACAATAATAACTATTCTTTGATTTATTTAGTTTACATGACTTCGGATTCTGTGTGCTTTTCCGAAACGGAGGATCATTTGTTTCAGGATTCGCCGTCAATCGTCGGAATATACGGAATAAGATATTCCCGGTTTATGTATATAATTAACTAGGGTTAGTTATAACCTTGCAGAGGGTATTATAATTTTGGTCAAAAGTGTGCAACGCAGTGAAGGAGACATCTCCTACCCAATAAAGTATATATATTCTTGATCAGGATCACCTCATGAGTTGATATGAGCATGTCCGAATGTCTGTCTGTATGTTTCTACGCAAACTAGTCTCTCAGTTTCAAAGCTATCGCGTTAAAATTTTGCAACACACCCTTGTTTCCTTTGCACGCAGTATAAGTCGGAATGTCTTGGATCGGCCGATTATATCCTATAGCTGCAATATAACTGATTAATCGGAAATGCTGTAACTTTGGTGTTTTTAGTTAGAGAGTTTGGATTTTGCATGAATGCTATTATTGACAAAATAATACGACATACAAAATTTCATAAGGATCGGTTAACTATATCCTATAGCTGCCATATAACTGAACGATCGGTAATGACCGACTAATGAAACTAAGTAGAGATTCTATTTTTGGTCAGTTGATCCGAGCTACCAAATTTCATAACGACTATATCTTATAGCTGCCATATAACTGAAAAATCAAATATGGATTTGGTCAAAACACCAACTTTGATATTTTTGAAGATAGAAGCTTTGTATTTTTTTTTTAGATTTTGCATTGTATAAAATGGTTATGGTAATGTTTATTGTAATAAATATTATATTATGGTTATATTCAAAAAGGACCGGCCAACTATATCCAATGTTTGCGATATATATATCCGGGTTTAACTGCATGGGTATATCCACTTCGGCTCCGGCCGAAGTTAGCTCTCCTTTCTTGTTTATTATTACTTTTATTTCCAAGGAAAGTTTTTTCAACTTACAAACTTAAATATTTGGGATGATTCGATAGTTTCTTTATTGCACAAGCACACACTGCAACACATAAAATAAAATGAAAAAAAAACCCTTACTTTAAAAAGTACTGCTGATTGGGAGGAGTTAGGCCCTTTTTAGAGCTGTCAAAGCCAAGTGAAGAGAAGGCGTATTCCTCGAACGGGGCGGAGTTCGCATCTTTAGACCCCGATTGAGGCCTCTGCTGGATAAGAGATGGAGGCCCGGAGTAGAAGTCGCTCTCGCTGTCGTAGTTCACCAGAAAAGGCGGCGATGATTGATCGAAGTCAGAACCAGTACTAACGCCAGGGACACTGCCTGTAGCAGCGTTTGCGTTTCCAACCCCATTAATATCTGCGTTTGCGGCAGCCATATCCCCAACGTCCTCGGGGCCGCTTGCCGTTCCTGCCTCTTCTCCCGCTGCCACCGCCAGAGCCTCCACCCCGCCCCCGAGCACCTGCGGCCTAGAGAAGGTATCTGCAAAGGGTCGGAGAGAATCCAATTGTACGGCAATTAGTTAAAAGTGATCGAATTTTACCAGTAGGTTGTGCGTACTGATAGACAAGGCGATCTCCCAGTTGCGCCGGTCGTCGCTGCGGCAATGGTTGTTGCTGCTGCTGTTGTTGTTGCGGACGAGGACGTGGCCGCGGTCGGGGCACTACCCTGGGAAAATTAGGCGCTGTTGGCGGCGAAGACGGGGCGGCTGGGGCATCGTAGTCGTAGTCATAGTCGAAGATCGGAGGCTGTGGCTGCGGCAGCTGCTGCGGTGGCGGCGGTGGTGGCGGGGGTGCTGGCGGAGTCCCCACCGGCCGTGGTCCATAGTAAAAGGCTAGGGGGCGTGGTTGTGGCCGCACGCGCCTGGTTGGTTGCGGCGCTGGTGCTGGGGGCGGTGCCGGAGCTGGAGTCGAAGCCGGAGCCGGAGGGTCCGCATAGTCGTAGTCGAAGGGCAAATAGCCGGAGGCAAAGTACGGGTGCCAGATAGGTCGGCGGCGCCTTGGAGGAGGTGGTGACGGTGCTGCAGTGGTAGTAGTCGTGGGCCGCCGCGTGGTACGCGTAAGGTTGGCCTTGGCCGCGGACAGCTGGGCGCTCTTCAGCAGCACATTGCGCAACAGAAGGCCAAAGTCAAGGGTGACGGTGCCGCGTTTCTCCCTAACTGCAGAGTTAGAGGAGTCCTGCGGAGCCGAGAGACCTACGCCTCGTCCGAGGAGCAGCGCCAGGAGCAGGAACAGTGGCGGAAGACAGGATATGGGCGTCATCCTATAGGAGTCGAGAGCTATGCGCTGGCTGGACCGCTCTGGAGGCTGTTTCAATAAGAACTGGAGGTGATCAGTCAGCCGTTCCGTTGTTCAGTTGCCTGCCTTGGCTCGGCATGGCTTTGGCCGAGCCTGGGCGTCGTGGATTAAGTGCCCCAAAATGGACAAGTTAGACAGGTTAGCTGGCCAGGCCATGCCTCGTAATCTCGTGATTACGAGACCCGACACCCCGTCAGCGAAAAACGACTAACGACGAACGTCGGTTATCAACGGGTTCTGTGCGTGGCAACAATTACTTTTGCACTAGTTTTGCGGTAGTTAATAGATCGTCAGTGGACTCAAAACTATGCATAATGCTTAGCAGCCGATGCATATTCAGACATGGCGCGGTCGTGCACGGTGGCTTCGACCCACCAGTCGTATGAGCAATTTGCCAAATTCTATATCAACATTTGGTTATGTCATTAACCTCTCATCATGGACCTCGCGCACAGCATGTTCCCACGGACACTGCCCCAGTAATAGTATCCAGTATTACTGAACTTTATCCCTATTCATATTTTTGATTCATTTCCTCTGACTTATTGACTTACTCTGGTTATTATTTCTATTTGTTTTATTTCTTGTGTTGTATTTCATGTGTTCTGTCAGTCTTACTAATTTTAAAACAGATTTTTTTATAATCTGTTGACTTTTTAGGTTTTAAGAGCTTTTTTCTTTTAAAAAAATTGGCTTTCTCTACATGGAGAACAAAAGTAAATAGAAAATAATTTATGTAATTATTCCTCGTTAATTGTACCCTCCTTCGTTAATTGCGTTTTGTCTGGTTTAATGGGCACTTAAACCACTGTGCGCACAAGTGACTGTCACGATTTGCTCTCATAATAATATGAATTTCGATTTCTGTTTAGCTGCGGCTGTTGAATTTGATTTTCGAGATATGTTCAGATCATTTCCACAGTAATTAACATAGTTTCGTTTTTTGTGTTAAGTATTGGCTCAGCTGAGTTTGAATGAGTTTCCAGCCTCCAGACAATGGCAACCTTTCGCTTTCCACTTGGAGGCGCACCTCCACTTCGAGTCGGGAAAACCAGTCCGGCGGCCACAAATTGCACACAGATTGGACGGGAAGTGCGGCGGTCTTTGCTGCTTGGGCCGTTCTGTATGCAGATGTGGAGTGCAGGCGGGGAGCCGGTTGGAAAGGCAGTGCTCTGGTTGACTTCGTGCGTCGGGCTATTTTTAACCTTGATTTCCCGGGCCCCCCTGGAGCCGCGTGCTGGACGGCTCGACGGCTGCCGAGTTGCACAATCCAGAGACGCAATACTGGCCAATAGCCAATAATGTGTTGCAAACCTGTCACAGATATTAGGCACTCCCCTTGCAGCCGGGTCGGGAATCTGGTGAAAAGTGAAAATCTATTGCGTTTTCCATTTCCCACGACACGTAAGCGGGTCCAAAGCGCAATTTGTCGAATGCTGCCACTTGGATATTGCATCGCACATATCCGAGTCCGTCCAGTTGTCGGTCATCGCTTGTCGGAAGGCAACATGCTTCGAAAACAGTCCATCAGTTTTTTGCAGACAGTTTGTCTGTCATTTCTTCTCATTTGATATGCATTCAAAGTGGGTTTGATTCCAAAATGAGCAGGGAACTCATTCGACTGGAGGACATTCCAAACAGTGGTTGGCGTTAGGGGCTTCATTGCGAGAACTATTGTTTGCGGTCTGTGACATACAAGTAGCCCTTTAAGAACAGGTTAAGTGTTATGATCCAAAATATAATTAAGTAAACTCCCAACCTTCTGAATTCGAAAGTCCCAAAGTTATGGCCAATCGATTTAAATTATAGGAAATACACGTTTAAAACACAATTAACAAAATTGACCCTCAAACGCAGTCTATCTGATTAAATTAATATTCAGAAGTGCATCCTTTTATTGGCTACATCCAATTAATAGGCTACCAGATTACTGTATATACCAGATACCAGGTACTTTTTTTTAATAGAACTAAACTTTCAAAGTAGATTCTCCAAATAAAATGATGTTGCATAGTTTTGTGGGTTCGGAACTAAATATTAAAAAAAAAAAAACTTTAGAAAACAAAACGTCAAAGTATATTCCTAAACTGGCGTTACAGAAGGATGTCATTTGTGAGGAAAGCGCGTGGCAACTTACTTGAACTGCGTGGCTATTGTAAGGGTCGACATACAACGACATACTATAATTCAATTTATAAAAAAGTAAGGAAAAATTGTATATATTTATATATTTATAGTATATATGTATATATATTATATTATATAATATATATTTATAGACATATATTATAGAATACTACATGAGGTATAAATTGAAATAAAAACCGAACCAAGGAAAACGTGGCGCCCATTTTAACATTTTTAAATTCATATCAAAAACCAAAAACTGTTTTATTTTAAATGGTAAAAATAAAAAGATTAAAATAAGACGAAAGAAAATTAAATTCAATCAACTAAAGGTGTTAAATTAAAAGATGTTACAAGATAAGTAAACATTGCTATTCAAAATATTAGGAGCTTATCAAGGTGGGTGCAAAACGGCGAGAAGCTTTCACACTGCTCCTCAATTTATAATTGACCCAATACAATAAAGACCCCAACAAGAATGAAGCGTCTCTTTCGCTTTTAAAATGGGTCGAATTAGACAGTTGCCTACAATTTTACAGTAGATCTTAAAAACTTTGTATCCCAGCCCCTGGAACGATACTAATGACGATTGAACGACCTCTATAATATTGTGAATTGTCGGATTCACAGCACTAGTCGTCCTCAGATCCCTTAACATTTTGAAGTGACACCACGGACAGCTCAGAGTCCCACCCGTAATGCTCGCACCGGCCACAGGTACTATATGAACTGTGGACTTATTTTTTTCTCGTAATTCTTGTCCCTTTTTTCCTTTGGGAGTGTGGCCCATATGCATGTCCCCCACTCTCCTTAACATTTTGATTTTTTACTTCCATAAATGAAGTTTCTTTTGAGATTGATGGGATTGCTTCCGACTAAGTATTCATTTTTTTATAGTAACCGAAAAGTGCACGTAATATGTAACATATCCATTGGTAAATTAGGTCATCTTGGTTCACAATGCGCTTTGAATCCCAAGAAATCACTGTTCTATGGATAAGGATCAGGATCACCTCATGAGTTCATGAGCATATGTACGTCTGTCTGTCCGTCTGTCTGTCTGTTTCTGGGTTTCCGCGAACTAGTCTCTTAGTTTTAAGCTATGGACTTCAAACTTCTTTCTTTTGCACGCAGTATATAGGTCGAAACGGTCGGGATCGGCTGACTATATACAATAGCTGCCATATAACTGATTTATCGGAAAAAAATAAATTTATTAGCGAATAAATTATTTCGCTATTTTTCGCAAAATAATACGACGTACCAAATTTCATAATTGGCCGACTATATCATATAGCTGCCATATAACTGAACGATCGGAAATGGTATTTGGTAAAAATACAAACTTTGTTTTTTTGAAGATGTAAGCTTAGGACTTTTTTTTTGTTTTATATTGGAACAAACTGGTTATATTTTGATAGTCTCATAAGGATTGGCCAACCATATCCGATTTTTGCGATATACCATATATCCGCTTTTAACTGCAAGGGCTCCGCCCGAAAGTTTGATGTTCGGTATTGGACAAATACCTGGTCGAAATAAATATTGGGACACTTTATTTTTTTTTATAAATTCGTAAATGATTTTTAATTATTTTTTTTTTTTATATTATTTGTAAATATCCAGAAGAAATTCATTCAAAACAGATAGAACTTTTTTATTTTACTGATCCTTTCCACGAAAATTGATATTGTTATGTTAGCTCCCTTAGAAATAATTATTGGGATACTGTATAGAAAATAATTTTTAAAAAATTTATAATTGCAGAAAAAAGATGTATTTTCTTACCTAATAGTGGGTATTGCCTCCGTGCTTTGAAATGACTTCAGCCAAGCGTTTAGACATTAAATTAGCCAAATCCTGCAATGTTTTTCGTCGATATTGGCCTATTCTTCGGGTTTAGGTCGGGACTACAAGCTGGCCACTCCAAAAGTATAATTTTTTAATCCACAAAAAACTGCTTTGACACTTTGGATACGTGGATGGCGGAGTTATCCTGTTGAAACATTAACTTTTTCTCAAAACATGTTTCGCCAAACGGTATCAAAACGTCGTCCATTAGTCTTATGTACATCTGGCAACTCATTCGTGTTAATAAAAAACATATAGAGGATCTTCCGGCGTCTCCAAGTGCGGCTTACACAAACACTCACATACACAAACACATAATACAAACCATATTGAAAAGTATTCATTTCAAAACTTTTGATTTTGTCCATAAAATTTTCAGTATTAAGCGTTTTAAAAATCGCACCAAAAAATCGTAAATTGTTACCATCAACAGCTGTTTTTAACAGCTGTTTTCTTCGCAGTGGCGCCATCTATGAACATTTCTGGTATGCAACATTAAAAATTAATCTATTGTGAATCATATGCAGTTAAAATTATTTAAATCCTTTAATTTTCAAATTGGTTTTTGGCCAGAAAAAGTGGTCAAATTTCCTATAGTGCATAGATCACTCGGCTCGATAGCTGATATAGTCTAAAAGATTATTTGACCCATTCGAAATTAGGGCAATAACCGATAGAACCGTTAGAAGTTACCAACAAATCACGTCTTGTTCGGCAGGTGAAGTACTTTATATGAAACTACGTAAAAATATATGAGAAAATTTCCTGGGCTGATGATTAAGTTAATATACTATAAACTTTATAGTACATACTTATCATTTTTGTCCAAATGATAAGATTGCAGAAAGTTGATAATATAACCCGTTTTTCATTAACCTTAAATTGTATTTCTCTTCTAAATGTATATTATGTATGTAGATACAGGTATGTTTTTTTAAAAAGTTTATTGAAGATTGGATGAATATTTAGGGTCTGATTTATTTGGGCTTAAAAATACTACATGAGAAATACAACGCTATGCTTTTTGGCCAGTTTCTATAGTAGTTTGAAATTATAAGTATCGGCGGAAGATATACTAAATTAAACGTTAAGGACTTTTTTAAGCGAAATGTTTAATGAAAGCAACGGCTACAATTAAAAAAAAGCATGGGGAAATGCCCATAACCATAATTTAAGAACCATAAGTATTTAAAATTGTAAATTTTTAAGCATTCGGAAGAAATGTATTTTAGCAGTAAACTGCATGATCAACTATGCTTTGCCTTGAAAATTGTCAACTCGTCCGGAAAACTCAGTTAAGAACATTACTAATGAATAACTAGTACTTTGTATACGACAAACAGACGAAAGTCTACGTAAAAATTTTAACAAAACATTTCTGCGGATCACTTTTATTCAAAATTCGACACAACATGCTAACAGCAACGCTCTTCCGCCCGATGACTTTCTTTGGTCTGGGATTGGGGGCCCTTATGTTCCTGGGATACTGTGTCTACTTTGACCGGAAGCGGCGGTCGGATCCCAACTACAAGCGGCTGGTACACGAGCGGCGTCATCGGCAGCGGTTGAACATTATGCGCCGGCGCGTGGCCGATAGTGAACAAGTGCCCACGGAGTTCGACCCCAATGACCAGGCGGCCCTCGAGCTTTACTTTCTTAGCGAGATGAAGACGGGCGAGGAACTCATCAGCCAGGGGCACATGGACGAAGGCTTGACACACTTGGCCAACGCCATTGGGTTGTGTGCTCAGCCGGGGAAGCTCCTGGAGATTCTCCAATCCACCTTGCCGGAGTGTATCTTTCGGCCCTTGGTGGCGAAGCTTCTGGAGATGCACCAACACAACTAAGCTGGTCGTCGGTCTCCCACCCTTTTCTGACAAATTCTCTGGCACTTAGTTCAGCATAGTCATGCCAACCGTTCCCAGTACAAGTGTGAGCGGTGTTTACATATTCTGGTCAGTGACTTCCATTGCAGCAATAAATTTTTGTTTATTTATTTAGCAATAATAATTGCAGCAATAATTTTATTGTTTATTCCTTTGACTTGAGCCTTTTAATATATTGAAATACATATGTATTATATTACATAAAGATAAAAATATTACATTATTAGATTACAATGTTTAAAAAGTATTGAAATGTATTACAATGTAGAAAAAATAACAAGAAAGGACGGCTATAGTTGCGTTTCCCGACTATATTCATACCCTGTACTTATCTCTTCCACCCACAATTCAACTAACTTTTTAAGTTTAAACTTAAACGGTATGGATTCTCAGCAACAATTTTTGTTGCATAATTTTGCGCTTGGGCAGCAATAACGGCCGCCGCAAGATTTCTGTTTTAGGGGCGGAAGTGGGTGTGTCGGATATATCGGATATAGTTGGCCGATCCTTTTGATTACATTATAATAAAACCAATTAATTAAAATAAAAAATCTAAAAAAAAATCCCAAGCTTCTATCTTCAAAAATACGAAAGTTGATATTTTTACCAAATACCATTTCCGATCGTTCAGTTATATGGATATAATCGGCCGATCCTAATGAAATTTGGTAGGTTGAATCAACTGACCAAAAATAGAATCTGTCATTTTCGATCGTTCAGTAATATGGCAGGTATAAGATATAGTCGACCGATCCTTATGAAATTGGCATGTCATATGGCATGTCGTATAGTTTTGCCAAAAATAGCTCTCGCGTCAAATTTAAACTCTTTAACTCTAAAAACACCAAAGTTATACCATTTCCGATCAATCAGTTATATGGCAGCTATAGGATATAGTCGGCCGATCCAAGCTGTTCCGACTTATATACTGCGTGCAAAGAAAAGAAGGCAGACGGACATGCTCATATCAACTCAGGAGGTGATCCTGGTCAAGAATATATATGTATACTTTGATGTCTCCTTCACTGCGTTGCACCCTTTTGGACAAAATTATAATACCATCTGCAAGGGTATAACAATTAGTTTCCCCGATATCAAACGTCGGGTACTGTTGAGCAAAATGGGTTTTTGCCAAAAAAAGGGATTTTGCTGAACCAGTGTGGGAGGTACTATAACCTGGAAATGCCTTATAATAGATCACTGAGATCAGCCCGGTTCCAACCACCAATATAAAAACGGAAAGTGGGTCAGACGGATGGATTGTTTTTTTTGATTGAGAAAATATATATCTAGGTATTACCTATAAATACCATATATGTATGTATGCAAACTTACTGGTATTGAATAAGTTTCTCGTACTGGAAACATAATAAAAGAATCTGAAATATAATAAACCTATTTAAATGCAGTTAAACTGTTCTCGTTAAAAACCAATATAAATCACTGAAGTTATTTTGGCACTTATGAATTATTTCCTGTGTAAAAATGTTTAATTTGTAGAAGAAGTTGATGAATTAATCAATAAGTTGTATTTTAAGCTAATTAAGTTATATTGAATTGAGGGTGCAGGGTATCAGCCAGTCTGGATGTTCGAGACTCAACCCTTTTCGGTAACAAGCCCGACAATTATATTTGGCAATTTATGAGCGAAAGTTATCGGGCCAGACTCGCCGAAAGTTCGCTTTCTTTAGTGCCCCGCGACCCGTGTCACTCTGAAGCAGATTTTATTGATGAGAAACAAATAACAAAGAGGCTTTTCGATCCGCATGTGGCTTCTGCGCCGAATATTACGCAACAATGCCTAATAAATAAATACGACAGGGGATCTTCGGCTCAGCCCAGCGCCCTTGCCAAGGCCGGCGGGGCAACGACCGGGTAGCCGTGGGCCAGTAGCGTTGGCGTTTGGAGTGCCAAGGTGAGCAACTAGTGACGAATCATTTATCAGATTCATAGTGGGACTTCGCAGCCGATCGCTAGTCGCTATCGGTTGTTGCCCCATTGTGAAAATTACAAACGCTAGTACTTATCCGAGTGGATGTGGGTAAGAGATGTAGATTACTACTAATAGTTTCAGCCTAAAATGTAAGCAGGCCTACAATTCATCGAAATTTTGTATTTATTTAACATTTTATTAGGGTCTTATGATAATATATATTAAAAAATAATAAATTTTTGTAATTTAATCTCGATTAATAATTTAATGAACTACCCTTCGAGCCGCCGCAACAATAGTTGGGCTATTTATGAATACTGCCAATACTGCACAGGCACATAAGCGGATAAACATATATATATATATACATACTTATTATATACCATATGAAAGGTATTGATGTGTAGATCATATATGTATATAAATATATATTGGATCTGGCTTCTACGGATCAAAAGACATATAGATTCAATCTTTATTTTCAATTTTTAAAATAAAAGTTATCAAATAACTTTTATTTTTCAATTTATACAATAAAAATTGAAAATAAAAGTTATTGCGTAATTTTTATATAAAAATTGATATTTAACTTCAAGAATTCTTAACAGCAGAGCATTTTTCCCTTTTTATGGTGCATAATGGTGTTCAAATTTGAAGAGGCTTGCATATCAATTTCATATTTAAGCATTATCTTGATAAAATGCATCACCCAAACATAATCTGATTTAAACACGCTGTGAAATAAAAGGTTAGGAATTAAGAAGCTATTTTGGAAAACAAAAACAAAATACAAATTTAAGCAAAAAAATAAACCATTGAAAACGTCAAATTAAAGCGCATACTCGCCGCGGGCTCTGGGGGAGTTCCCAGAGCTTCGATCCCCCTCCCACTTGTGGTTACGCCACTCTGGGTAACCCCAATCCTCTCCCGCAAGCGCGCAATTAAATCCGAAATCCAAAACAGTTAGTAGTTGCCCCTCGTCATCGCCAGCGTCATTATCGTCACCGACATCCTCATCATCAATGGCATTGAATCTAATTTGGCTTTTATATCGGTCGTTGACCCCGATTGTTTGCGATCACGCTCGACGCAGTGATCGCAGCTCTCTCTTCTACTCCCACTACTGCTTCAACTCCCCCTGGGCGGTTGGTCGATACCCCCCGTCCAGCTCGCTCCCTGGGTGTCCTTTGCCCTCTTTCGCCCCAGGACTTCGGCGGGGGTTCGGCGCTCCCGTTCCACCCGAGGAGGGCGAACCGCACTTCTGCCGGCATGCTGCAGCCAAGAGAGCTCGCCCAGAGATTAAACGTGGCCGTATCAGCCGTGCCAGAGCCATAGTACCCGTATAAATATCACCAGTACCGTCACGGCCGCCGCACACGGCCAAGGCATTCACGGAACTGAACAACGCGAAAATGCGGCTCTCGATAAACCCACTCCTTAGACCCACCTCTTGGTACTGGCTGCTCCTTACCCAGGCTCTGGGTCTCGGACTGTCCCCAGTGGGGGCCTACAGCTCGGGAAACCTGCTCACCTGGATGCAGGCCAGCAACTTCGGCCTGCAGGTGCTCCAGTATGCTCTCAACGATACCGAATCCACGGCGGCCGACGAGAGGGCCTGTGTAGCGGAAGTGCAAGTGCTCCTGACCGCGGCGGGGGCTCAGGCCTTGCCGGCCCTCCGAGGTAAGCTCTCAATTTTACGACGATTCCTCTCAAGCCGTTAAAACACATTCTTGCAGTGCTCGACGCCTGGGGAAAGTTCCCTCAGGGCCTTCTCTACGGCCACTTCAGCGACCTGGGAAATTACGAGTCCTGCTTGAGTGGCAGTTACCAATCCGTGGGGAGTGGGCCCAAGTACTGCCTAACCCACATCCAGTTCAAGAGCCTGCTCCTAGAGGCCGCAGGATCGGAAGCCCTCACTCTCAACATCGGCACCTGCGTTCCCTCATCCTGCAGCGCCGCCCAGCTGAACCGGTGGCTTCACTCCCACCTCCAGTCCATGTTCGGAGAACCGGCTAGTCCGGCGGAAGTACGTGGTGTCCTGGTCCAAGAGCAGTCTTGTTCTGTGTCCCAGGCCGCGCCATTGGGGGGACTGGACTGGTTTGCGGTGTAAGTCGATTTTTTCAACTCTCGCACAATTTTTTCTCCGTTGGGTGGTGGAGCAGACCTTACTATTCCGAGCAACTGTTCTTCAAGTCTTACGCAATATGAGGCGGGCTGGCGGTTCAAGTACACCCGTCCACTACGTTCCATACATATGTATTACTTGTTCTGAACGTCAATGACGCTGGCTGGAAGAACCCAATAAGTTAATAGATTGCCTAGATAATGGCTATCGTAAATTGGGAATGGGGGACATGCGAAAAATTTTGCAGAAAGGCTAGGCTCAAAGGAAGTCAAAGCTTCTATACCCTTGAACGTGGTTTAAGTTTGTAGACATTTTAATAGCTGGCATTAGAAATAGAATTTAAAATATATTTCTTAAAATTAATATAGTGTAGCCGAACTTCGTCCTTAAAACTTAAAGTTTTTATTTACGTTTTGGATAATTGAAAATTAAAAGGGAGTATTAGCAAAATTTAAAGAAAAAAGTGGTTTGTATGAGTACAAAATAAATTCTTATATATTTCTTATAATATGGACCCAAGTATTTATACAAATGTATTTTAGGCTGTAAGATTGACAGTGCTGATCAAGCTCATACCTTACCTTGTTAACTTTTTACATTTTACAAACACACTAAACTATTCTAATCTACGTTTACAGTGTATATTTTTTTAAAGTACAAGTGGTTTGATTAATAGAGGGTTCTACTGAACTGACTTAGTCGTCAATTTACAATATCATGACATTCACGATTGCATACAAAAGGGGGAAAGTAGCTAAAAATATCTTTTATTTGCAGTTCCATTTTCGCCATTCTGGGCACAGTAGTTTTATTGGCCACTCTCCTGGACTACCGGAAAGGTAAGACACAACCACCCAACAAAACCAGAAGCCTATATAATCGAAATGTCATACCATTTTTAGCTTCTGGAAAGCTGATCGGGGCCTTTTCACTGCGCCGGAATGTCCCCCAGTTGTTCGACACCTCCACCGCACCATCGCCTCGGGTGATCCCATGCCTGCACGGCATCCGATGCCTGACTATCCTCTGGATTATCTTTGGCCACGGCTACATGTTCCTGTTGTTGGCGCCGAACATCAATTCTTACGAAATTGTGGTTTGGGCCCAAACTCCCTTTTCCATGCTCCTTCAGAGCGGCAGCACCTCGGTGGACACCTTCTTCCTACTTAGTGGCCTGCTTCTCGTTCTGACCACGTTGCGAGAGATGGAGAGGTAAGAAGCGGCGCTTTTCCGTGCATCTTCAGACCCTAATTAGGTGACTCTGCAGAAATCAGGGACGCCTCCACGTTCCACTGATGTACCTGCACCGTCTGGTGCGCCTGACCCCTGTCTTGGCTCTAGCGGTGCTCTTCTTCATGACCCTTTTCCCCCGCTTGGACAATGGCCCCCTTTGGCAGCAGTTTACAAGCTCTTCGGAGCTTTGCAAGGACACTTGGTGGGCTACCCTCCTCTATGTTCAGAACTACGCAGCTGCCGGTCGCATGGTTTGTATTCTTTTCTACATGTTTTAAGGGGGTGGGTTTTTGGGAGACGCTAGTACTGTAGTATTTAGAGTGAGGCTTCCACTGCTTCCAAAATATAGAAGAACTTGTAAAAAGTTTGGGGTCGATGAGAGCGTTAAAATGAGACTAGTTTGCGTAGAATCAGAGAGGCGGAAAGACGAAAATGCTTATATCGACTAAAAAAGTGATCCGTTTAAAATATATATAGAGTCGAAGATGTCTATTCTCCTCTTATGTTTTGCTAACTTTTTACCAGAATTATAATATCCGCGGCAAGGGTGTAAGAATCGATTAGCTGAAAAATAGTATTATATTATTGTTACAGATTGTTTCATTCATTTCTTAAGTCTAACATAAAGTGTCACAGCTGTATTTTGTTTTGAAAATTTTAATTTAGAATCATGTACCCCATTCCTTAAGCTTCCCAACACTATTTTAAATCATATATCCTTAACAAAACCCTCATTTCTTTGTTAGTGCCTGGGCCATTCCTGGTACCTTGCTGTAGACATGCAGCTGTACGTCCTGTCGCCCATCGTTTTGATCGCCCTTCATAAGTGGGGCAAGCGGGCCGTGGGAGGCATTGTGGTGCTCATCTTGCTGCTCTTCGGCTGCGTCTTTAGTATAATCATGTTGAATGAGCTTCAGGTGTTCGATCGCCGGGGGTAAGTTCATCCGAGATTCTCACCAAATAGTCGATATAAGGTTTGTTTCTCCTGAAGGAACCTCGGGGCCGACAGTCCCCAGATGCGCCTCATCTACTATACAACACACGCCCGGGCCACGCCCTGGTTGATTGGGCTGCTCTTCGGTCACTTTCTGCACACCCAGGGCGGACGCAAGGCTCGCCTGCCCAGATGGATGACCCCCTTGATGTGGCTCCTTTGTTTTGGTCTACTGGCAAGTGTCTTGTTCGCCGTGTTTCCGTACACCCAGCCCGGAGCCGTAGCCATCTCGCCCGTGGCCGGCGCCTTCTACCTGTGCAGCAGTCGCATCGCCTGGCCCCTGGCGCTGTGCTGGCTTATCTGGGCCTGCCAGAATGGAGTGGCCCCTGGAATCGACAGCCTGCTTGGCTGGTCTCTGTGGCAGCCCCTATCGAAGCTCTCCTACTGCCTTTACATTTGGCACTTACTGGTGGAGACTGTCAACGTAGCCCGCACCAAGTCGAGTCTGCACTTTTCCGACTACGATGCGGTGAGTTTCTAGGTTCTCTGCAGCTGAACGTGCGGCTGATCTTTCACATCTTTCTCGTTGTAGTTCCTTCGGTTCTGGTCGGACTTTGGTGTCACCCTGCTGGTGTCCCTGGTCATGTACTTGTTCGTAGAGATGCCTGTGGTGCGGATCGAACTAGAGTTGCTGCGCAAGTTTCGCAAGCCTAAAATCGATCCTGCGGCTGCTGTAGATGCCCCTCCCGTACCACCAGTCACAAGCATTTCCCGCCAAAACTTAGTGGATCCCTAATCCTTGTCTCGTGTCATGGAGAGCCGGACTCAAGGGCACCAATCAGGGTTGTTGTTAATATTATAGCGTTATATAGCGAACTAGTCTCTCAGTTTTAAAGCTATCGACTTGAAACTTTGCACACACCCTTGCTTTGTATATAAGTCGGAACGGCCGACATCGGCCGACTATATCCTATAGCTGCCATGTAACTTATTGATCGGAAATGCTATAACTTCGGTGTTTTTAGAGTTAGACAGTCCCAAGTTCAGATTGGAGAAATAATACGACGTACCAAAATTTATAAGGATCGCCCGAGTTTATCTTATAGCTACCATATAACTGAACGATCGGAAATGGTATTTGGTAAAAAACCCACCTATTGGTTTTTTTTAAGATAAAAGTTTGGGACTTTTTTTTAGATTTTGTATTGTAATAAATTGGTTATCAGGGCCGTAGCTAGCATGGGGCAGGTGGGGCGGTGCCCCAGGGCCCCGAAGGGAAGGGGCCCCGCCGGGACAAAAGACTTCCGTATAGGGGGCCCCAAATTTACTTGTTTCCCCAGGGCCCCCGAGGCTCTAGCTACGGCCCTGTTGGTTATATTATGATATTTCCATAATGATCGGCCAACTGTATCCGATTTTTGCGATATATATCCGGTTTTAACTACAAGATTATATCAACTTGGGCTCCGTCCGAAGATAGCTTTCCTTTCTTGTTTTACTTTTTATAGTTGTCTAGCACGACTCATGTAGTAAATTGTAAATATAGTAAATATTTGAGTCATTAAGTATTTATCCAGTCTCAATTTATTGTCAACTTTTAAGGAGAGAGGATTTTTTAAGGGTTTTCAGGAAGGCAGACAAGATAGAATGGATATTGTCGAGTTTCCCGACTTTAATTAACTTCGTAGGTAAAATTAACTACTCTTTTAATATCTAAGGTCTCTAAGACGATAGTGCTATAGCTAAATTTAGCTGTCAAAATATGATTGTTTATAGAATGGGAGAATCTTCTCCATAATCTACGGGTGCACCATGAGGAAATTCTGGATGTATCCTCCTGTAACAAGTAACGGTTACTAACGTAACTAATGGTCTTATAGAATTTAAGGTCAGTCGCATATATCAGGAAGAAGGCATGACGAAAGTAGGAAGATATTTCATTAATGAAGATGATCCCAGGGAGCTGCTATGTGGAATACCAGACAAGGCAATAAAGGGACATGATATGGAAAGTCTGCCAAATATGATTAAAACCAACTTAAAAAGATGGAATAATATAACTTAGCCAGTAGGGCAGCTTGACAAACTTTGTCAAAGGCCTTGGAAAAGTCTGTAAAATGGCATTAACCTGAAATCGGTTCTCGAAGGCTTCAATGCAGTGAAGCATGCCGGTCTTAAATGCAGGTCTTAGCGAAGACCGCTAAATTAATTGGAGTGGACCCCCTAGGAAAGACACCATGCTGTTTGGAGAACATAAAATTACGAATCAAAAAGGTTTTTTTTTCAATAGCTCTCCGCTCAAGTATCTTAGCGCCGTTGCAACTTTTAGCTATAGGTCGATAGTTGGTAACTACTTACTGCCACCTTTGTGAATAGGCGTGTTAGAAGTAATCTTTCCCCGATAAGGGAATCAACCAGACGAGAGCGCCAAGGAGAACATCAGTTGAAGGGGAGTAGAAAGTGAAGGGATATTCTTCTTAAGAAAGAATGGAGAGATACCATCTAAGTCAGGGGTGTGTGACTCGGTAAAATGTCCTGTGGCGTCATCTAGGTCACAGTCCAATATGTCCAGATTACTTACATTAAGAAAAGGCTAAATATCAAGAAGAGTTTCATTTTCATTCTAGGAAACCTTCGGCTTCAAGTTAAAGAAAAAGTATTTTGCAAAAAAACTTTCTTCCTCCGAGTTGTCTACTTAATTTCCATAATATATGGAAGAAGGTATGTCCGATATTAAAAAGCCGCCAAAAAGCTTTTGGATTGGATCGGAGGCTCGACATCGGATATATACTGGTTGTAAAGAAACTTATTATGGAATTAAAATTCCCGCTTAAATGGCCGGTAGAGCTCTCATGCTCGAGGATCCCCTGTTCTTATAAATCTTGTATATTGCTTCTCCCTCCTATTCTTTAAGTTTTTTAAGCCCTTCCTATACCTAGAAGTATAGTTTAGGGGCATTAGTATCAATAATATTAAAAAGGGTAATTTTATTAAGAGGACAAAGTATAACAATCATCTTTTGAGACATCCGAAAGGGAAACCCAATCAAAAGCTGTAATAAATCATTGAGATAATAATATATGTTTGATGGGTTTGGCAGAAGGCAAAAAACTAAAAACCTCAATATGAATTACTAACGGCTTGGGCTGAATATCACATGCACTTAACGGTATCTTAAACAATTATATATATGTACATACTATACACTGCGCGTCATCAGATTAGCACACCCCTGGCCTAAATAGTTTTGTTAAATTTCTAGTAAAACTAAAAAAGCTAAGATTCTGAAAATTTTTCCCATTAATAACAAATTAATTTGCCAAAAAATAACGCTAAAATTGGGGCTTCTCTATTTTCCAATATTAGCACAAATCTCTTAATATCAATTTTTTTTAACTTTTTAGACGGAAACTTATTTTTAAATTTATATACATAATTTATTTATTTACATTATATACATTAATTTATATGTATAAGGTAATTTGAACAGTATTTATTATTAATTTAGTCTTCTTTGGTGGAATATTGCCGTCCAGACCCATAGACTTTGCGAGTCAGCCATTCCCACACGTTTTCAATGATATTGATGTCCGGTGAATAAGGCGGCCATTGCAACAAATTGACGTTTTCACCTTCAATCCACGATTTAACCACCCGGGCCGTATGAATCGGAGCCTTGTCATGTTGGAATCGTCATGGTTTATTGCCAAACAGATTTTAAAAGAGCGAAAAAGCAGTGGCCAAGACTTTTTATAGCTCATTGCGTTCGTAGTTGAGTTTAAAAATTGTAGCTCGCACGTACATACCATAGTAGGAGATGGCCCCCACACCATCACACCACCAACACGACTATGATGCCGATCTAGCAGATGCTCCTCTTTTCGAAGATCGTGGAAATAATAATTATATCCATCTGGTCCATCCAAATTAAATTTCTTTTCATCAGAAAAGACAACACTCCTTATTTACCTTCGAACAGTCGATAAGCTTGCCGTAATGCCAACTTTTGCTTTAATTTTTGCAGTAGGTTCATGCGAATTAGATGCTTCTCTTAAGATTGATCTCTTATCAGCTGCGGAAAGCACATTATTATTTCCGCCTTTATTATTTTTACCGTAGCCCGACTTATCACGCAAAAAATTATATATAACTTTTCGACTTCTACCGATTTTTTTTGATATTTCACTTATTGAAAGCTTAACATCTTTATAAGCCTCAATTTTAGCTTTTTCTTCTACCGATAGCGCTTTATCTTTACCCATTTTAAAAGTAATAGATCCTAAAAACAGCGCAAAAATTTTGGTGTCAATACGCGCCCCCAGTCCGAAGTTAATTGAAAGACAAATTGCATATGTATGCTAACCTGATGACGTAAAAATTAAGCTCAGTTTTCGAAGAGGAATAAAAGAAAGTACCAAAAATCATATAACGGAACATTTTTACCGTTTGTTATCTCTGCACACAATAATGAGCAAAATAGATAGGTGTGCAGTAGCTGTAAGTTAACAAAAAAAAAGTCAGAGCAATTTATATTGATTAGTTCACAGTGTGCTAACCTGATGACGCGCAGTGTATATACTATACTATTAACCACGTTTTTAGAAATAGAAGATGAAGAATTTTAGATAAACTATTAAAATTAAAATTTTGATGAATATTGCTGGGTAGCAGGCAGAGTGACTCCGGGTCCCGAGATTAGTCGACCCGTGAATGCCCAGGACTGAGACGTCAAGCTGATCTAGTAGAGGGCAATCGGAAGGCAAAATGATGTAGCCTGAAAAGATCGACGGATAGTGATGATCACACCACCTCCTCTGGGTAAAGGACTGGATGCATCTCGGTCTTTTCGAAATACTTGGCACAAGTTAGGCATCCTTGAACGCGTCGACCTACGTCTCCGTCGAGTCCCATTCTATATCTGTATTAATGGTAGTCATGAACTCATTTAGTTCAAGTACTTTTTTAACCATTGAGTACGATGAGTTTCACCTAGTAACAACATCGAGCGGAGGTATATTTTTATTGTTCTCGATAAGGACACGTCTGCGCAGGTTATATACATATATTTTTTTGTAGAGTTTATTAAATAAAAAAAATATTAGCCAAGTTCAGGTCATCAATCAGCGTTCCAATCAGGTCTTTTCCGTCTGTATCATCTTCGAAAAGGGACTCCTCCGTGTCGTCATTGAGTTCTTGTACGGCTTTGACTATGTTTTTCCTATTACCATTACTGTTTGCTTATATTCTATTTTTGTTAATAGCAAGGGTATTAAATAATTTACTTAACTTTAATTTTTACCTGAAAATTTTATCTAAACTTATACCATAATCATATAGTATTTCCACAAGTTGTTCTTTTATATATTCCAAGTGTGTAAAGAGGTGAGGTGGATTATGTCCAAGGTCTTCACAAAAATATCTGCTCCTTCTTTATTTGTCGGACTCATTTGTTAATTAACACCTAGAATGGATTTCTCTATTCTGATTTTAGCGATAACAGCTTTCCTTTAATTAGGGGTCCTTTGCCGTCTTTAATGCCCTCTTCTTTTACAGACACGAAACTCATAATATTTCCTGAAATCATTAAGTTCTTACAAAGAGAATTATAAATTGGATCAACTATTTTTTTGAATCCCTTGCTATCCAGGAATAAAAATGACTTTCCTTTTACCGCTCATAAAACGCAAACCAATGAAACAAACTTTTTTTCTCGAATCTTATTCAATATTTAAGAAATGAACTTGAATACTACAATAATACAAGAAGAAATTTAAGAGATAGAAAAAAAAAATCAAAAACCAAAGCCATGTACTCAGTTTTGCACCTTGTTTTTGCTCTCCCTGTTTTCTTATCAGAAAAATACTTGCAGGTTTACCGTTTTATGTCTTTTTCATTCATTATTTGTTGTCATAATTCAGAAAGTCTCACTTTTCTTATGGTTCAAAGTAGATTTAATGAATTAAGAACTTAGTCTAAAACTTTCATGTATCTGTAAAATGAAGAAGCTATCGCCAGATACCAAAAACAGTTTTCATGACTAAAACAAAGAAGCTAAATTGCTAAGAAGCTAATTTTCAGTCAGTCAGTGGTGGTCAAGGTGAAAAAAAGAGAAAATGTTTGTTCCGAAAGCGTGTTGAATGGTCGTCCCCGCCTTTTATCGGACTCTGACGCTCGACTATGATGTCCAACATGAGGAAAGATAAGCTTTTAGCGCCAAAAAAAAGGCTTCTTATAAGATAAATAAAACCCTAAGTCGATGGACAGCTAGAAGAGCACGGTGTAGAATAGGACTTGTCGCCTATGTTAAAGAAAAAACTAGCTGTATCCGAGAAAAATGTTAAAGCTCGGTTACAATTTGCAAACACACACAAAAACTGGATTAAACAAAATCTGGTCAGACGAATCCAAGTTTAACCGTTGCCAGTGGGATGGCAAGCAGTATCATGGCATAGGCCCGGTGACAAGCATCACAGAAATCAGGAAAAGCAAGCCGTATAGCATGGAGGAGAAAATATAATGGCTTAGGGGTGCTTCACATGGTGGGAAGTTGGGCCATTGCACAAAATTGATGGGATAATGCGAAAAGAGGACTATTTAAACATTTAAAAAACCAGTCTTCACAAATTTCTCGCTAGAAGTGCCTGTCCAGAAGGATAAATAACTTTCCAAGAGGATGGGGATCCAAAGCATACATGGAAAATTGTAAAAGAATGGTTGGCAAAACAAAATTTTAAGATCATGTAGTGGCCAGCTCAATGTCTTCTTCAGCTCAATGTGTGCGTTGCACACTTTTTACAAAAAATTATAATACCTTCTGAAAGAGTATAAAAAAAGTTGGAAACATTTAAAAACAAGAAAGCAAAGCTAACTTCGGGCGGAGCCGAAGTTGATATACCCTTGCAGCTAAACCGGATATATATCGCAAACATCGGATATAGTTGGCCGATCCTTATGATTACATCATAATAAAACCAATTAATTACAATAAAAAATCTAAAAAAAAGTCCCAAGCTTCTATCTTCAAAAATATGAAAGTTCATATTTCTACCAAAAACCATTTCCGATCGTACAGTTATATGTCAGCTATAAGATATAGTCAACCGATCGTTATGAAATTTGGTAGATCGGATTAACTGACCAAAAATAGAATGTGTACCAAGTTCCAGTTTTCTATCTTCAAAAACACGAAAGTTGGGTCATTTCCGATCGTTCAGTTATATGGCAGCTATAGGATATAGTCAGCCGATCCTAATGAAATTTTGTAGGTCGGATTAACTGACCAAAAATATAATCTGTACCAAGTTCCAGTTTTCTATCTTTAAAAACACGAAAGTTGGGTCATTTCCGATCGTTCAGTTATATGGCAGCTATAGGATATAGTCAGCCGATCCTTATGAAATTTGGCATGTCGTAATATTTTGCCAAAAATAGCAATTAAAAACGTCAAAGTTATACCATTTCCGATCAATCAGTTATATGGCAGCTATAGGATATAGTCGGCCGATCCCGGCCGTTCCGACTTATATACTGCGTGCAAAGGAAAGAAGGGTGTGTGCAAAGTTTCAAGTCGATAGCTTTAAAACTGAGAGACTAGTTTGCGTAGAAACAGACAGACGGACAGACGGACATGCTCATATCAACTCAGTAGGTGATCCTGATCAAGAATATATATACTTTATAGGGTCGGAGATGTCTCCTTTACTGCGTTGCACACTTTTGGACAAAATTATAATACCCTCTGCAAGGGTATAAAAATTGCCAGAAATAGCAAACAAATTCATAAAGTGGCAGCACTACTCCCAAACGGCAAAAGCAAAAGGGAACAGAAAATATTGCTCGTCCTTTGAGCGAGACAAAATTTATATACAATGGTTAACAGTTATTGCGAGCTATGATTATAATAAACTGGTTTTATTATGAAATCCTCATATGGATCGGCCAACTACATATATCCGATAAATATCCGATTGTAACTGCAAGGGTATACCAACTTCGGCTCCACTTGAAGTTAGATTTTCATTCTTGTTTTATTTGATTTTTCATACTGAAAGTAGTATTTATTATACCTACAATGTATTTTATTCTTCTACTTTTTATAGCGAGCTATTTCTTAAGATTATTAAAACTATATATTCTTAAAATCCTTTCAAAAGCTTGCCAACTGCGGCCCAAACCTTTTTCAGGTTAAGTTTAAAATTTTTGTCTTTTTTTTTAATATTAGAAATAAAAATTCACTTTCATAGATTTTGGTTGATGTTTGATTTATTTTTGCTTAAAAGTAGGTAATCCTTATATAAACTTTGAGGAATGTGAATATTTGCTATACAGCTTCTTCACTGTAAAAAAAAAGTGTATAAAAAAAACTTTAGTGTTCAATGTTTTATCCTAAACTAACTAACTAGATTAATTTAATTAATCTGATTGCTGCAAATTATCTCTACTTTCAATGGATGTCGCCGTGGCCTGTTCCAGGTCAGGCTGAATTTTTTCGGGCAGGATTGCGTTTTGATCCTCCGACGGAATCTTTTGTGTATCCTCCTTATTTTGAGGCTGTCCTTCTGTCTCTCTTGTTTTCGTCGGCTTCTTCCGACTTGGCAAGAGGAGGTTTTCAAGTCCTGCCAAGGGAGCCTCGATGGTTACATAGAATGCATATGACATTACAAGAGTGAATCCAAAGCATCCCCAGAAGTTCAGCATCTAAAAGAGAAAGAAATGTGTCAGTAGAGTGGAAAACTTGCTGTGGGGAAGTCTTGTATTATTAGAATCAGTAGATCCTAACTGTGTTTACCCGACCGATGGGGTTTGAGTATAAATATGATATATAGTTTATATGGAAAGTTGAAAAAAGTGCACATGCCTTGTTATTAGAAAAGTAGGACTACCTTAACTTACCGCATCATAATCCGAAAAGTTGGCGCTCGTGCGAATGCGTCTGTGGTTGACCTCCTGAATGAAAATATGCCAAATATAGGCGGAGTACGAGATCCTAGAGAGGGGCTGCCACATGGGCGAAGACAGGAAGCTGTTGGCCATGCCGCCGTATCCGTGGACGCAGGCAAAGACAACCCAGCACATGGCCAAGGGCCAGCCTACTCGAGTGAGTGTGTAGAAGAATGCCCCCTCCAGGACTGTGGGCGATGGCGCCAACAGCTTGTTGAACTTAAACATCGAGAAGATGGCTGTAAACATCATGGCCAGGCAGAGCAGCCAACCTGCCCAGACCGCTTGCCACTTGAGTTCGACTTTCGCACCCCGGATGCGGTGCATGAAGTAACCAAAGAGAGTTCCAACCAGCCAGGGGGCTGCATGGTTGTGTGTCGCAAAGTACAGCTTCTTCTGCACTTCTGGAAGCTGACCGCCGTGTCTGCATATGTAGGTATATAAATATGCATTAAAAAGGTGAGGTTTAAGTGAGAATTAAAATAGAGTTATTTTCAATAGCTGAAATATAAATATAAAATTTCCAGAAAAAATTGTTTTCGTAGCCGCTAAAAATTGTAGCCGCTAATATTACTTACAAGAAGGTAACTTTGAAATCATTAGTCATTATTGTAGTAAATAGGCAAGCGGAGAGCAGCAGCATTAGGACCAGGACAGCTCCGGCCGCCTTCGCGCCCCACTTGTAAAGGGCGAGAAGCAGAAAGGGTGCCAGGATATACAGTTGCATGTCCACGGCCAGGTACCAGGTGTGCGGAAGACACTACATCAAAAAGTAATGCTGGTTGAAATCACGTGAAAGGGAAGGGGGACTGCTTAAAACTCACAATCTCCGACACAGCGGCGTAATTCTGCACAAAGAGCATGTTCCAGTACCAGCTCTTACTGCAGACAGAGTAGTCGAATAGAGCAAGGTCCTGGGACACTGGGCCCTTGGAAATAAGCGGTAACAGCTGCATGTAGACCAGGATGGCCACGGCGACGATCGGGGTTAGGCGCAAGTAGCGATGCAGGTACATCATCGGTATGTTCAGCTTCCCCTTCGCCCTGTCAATGGTATGCAAAAGAGTAATTTTCTTCCGTGGGAGGTACCGCTGAACACTTACCTCTCCAGAGAACGAAGTCCGATGACAACCAGAAGCAGGCCAGTGATGAAAAGAAACGTGTCCACCGAGAAAGGAGCGTATATAATGAAGCTAGAGAAGGGCTTCCGAAACCACGAGAGGACTTTTATCCGGTTGATAGTGTACGACATTACAGTGTCGGTATACTCGTGGCCCACTATCACCCAAATTAGCGACATACAGCGTAATCCGTGAATGCAATGAATGACGTTGGGAGTTGACTTGGGGTCCACTACAGAAAAAAGCTCCTTAGAGTTCGTGCGCACTGAGAACACCTTGACCACCCTCGGGATCTTGCCTGCGAAGCAGAATATATTTGATCAGACCCTCTGGATGAATACTAACTTCAGCTGCTCTTACTTTGATTCTGACACCAGAAATAGTCGCAGGCGGTGCAGAGAACGGCTAGCACACAAAAAACGGACACAAGAGCTCTGAAAAGCATTAATTCGATGTAGAATGCCAAATAGATTTTAATCTAAGCTTCAAACGGCTAATGAGGGTCTCTGGGAGCCAAAGGGATACTCACATGGTCACGATTGTGGTGGTGCTTAAGGGTGGATCATCTTTTGTCTTGCAGCTCTCCTGATTAATAAAAAACATGCTACTGGGGTCACTCACTCCGAGCAGTCCTTTGAGCACTAAAGCCACGAGGTTCTCCATGAACTCCGGCGAGCAAGAGGAGGGGAAGCATAAGGCCGTCTTAATGTTTATCATTGACAAGATCGGGGCGTTAAGTCCCAGCCACTTGGCAACGGGCAGCTCCATCATACAATACTTTCCCTTAATGTTCTGCGACTCGCTAACCGTCCTGTCTACACTGAGGCACTGATCGTAGTTGCCCATGTCGACCCGGTTTCCGTAAAGGTATCCGGAGGGTATGGTGCCCCAAGAATCGATCACTATTCCAGAAGTTATCTAATTAGTAGGCATTAGAGGTGGCAAAAATGAATTACACTTACTAGATATGGCCCAAAATTTGGCCGACGTCAGGTCCTCCATGAACTGTTTCATGTCTAAAATACAAGAGCTGTCTGCCCTTTCTAGTTCGTCTAGAAATTGGGGTTCTGTTGTTGAAATATTCTTAAACTGGTGGAAAAACTCCATGCCCAATGAGCGCAGCTTCATAAGTCGTTGGTAGTCTGCCATTGTAGGTGCTTCACTGTTCTCGGAGTTGAATCCGTAAAAGTTTAATTCCTTAAGCTGCTGGTAGTCGGTCAATCCAGGGACTTCCGCCGCCCCCAGTGCCGCCAAGCCAATTATAAACAGAGAACCTACTGCAACGACCATCCTTACTACGGTCCGACCAGTCAACGTGTGTGGCTAATCGCCCCTTCATGGGCCGTTTATATGGCCATGCCGGCGTAGTATTCCCCCGAATCGCGTAATCGTTATCGTTAGCCTCTTACCACTGCCAAGATACTACGAATCGATTAAAGTACCGCTAGTTCCTGTAATCCTATTCTGTGCCGCAAATTTGTACCTATTTTTATAGCATTTCCTGGTAATCATTGTACCGTTCCGAAGGTCCAATAATTCTAAGATTGGTTTCAAAGAATTATCGTAGCAAAATTAAGTTGATATGGTAAAAACGATGGAGATTGGTAAATTGGGTGTTAGCTTATGCTCTTGAACATGTTGTTTTGCGAAGCAGAAGCTTTTAGCATTTAGAAACTGAACAAGTTAACTGTCTTATCAATCCAATACTTGTATTCCTTATCACCTGAATGCATAGAGCCTGGAGTGCTTAGCGACAAGATATGTTTTACCCGAATATTACTATGAATGAAAGATAAAGTGTATCCAGATTCTGCCCATACCCATATTTATGCAAAACAAACCGAATTTAAGCGCACATCCTGTAAGCTGCAGTAGAATTGTCGGGGCCCGCGTAATCGAATAATCTTATTTTAAAAATATTTTAGTATGAATATTCAACCACTTCAAGAAGTTTCTTGCTAACAACTGATATCAATTCTCAATAAGTAGATGATTAAAAATGTTTACACTATTACTAAGAACCCGAACAGGTGTCAACATGTAGATGAGTGGAGTTATCATTTGATTTAAAAACAAAACCCCCTACGAAGCGTCCAATCGACTCCCAACAAGCTTACTTATTATCAAAAGTATTGTCATTGTGTTTTTATGATTTGGTTATATACAGCTCATATAGCCAGTAACGGGTAAGTAATGCAGTCGCAGTGTTGCTGCTGGAAGGGCCACACACGAAGATATCTGGCGGATAATACTATTCTTAAACTTAGCATAGCGATATGAATAAATTAGTTTTGAATAACCCTGTACCGTTAGAGATGTGATAAGAGATGTGAATCCAACAGAGCAAGACGAAGCCGAAAAGGATATTCGAACTGGAACAAGAATAATGCGAAGCTCTGAGCAAGTAAAGGAAATGCAATGAAAACTACTGTGTGTGAATTTGAATTTCTTCCATTAGTTATTTTTCTGAACTTTTCATAAGCGCAGCTAACCTCCCACATACAGCGAGTAAGATCTGTCTATTTGCTTGCACTTCAAACATTTTTTTAAACAATGCTTGCTTTGCAAAACGAGCTTCATAGTTAACCTGATGTAGAGTTTCTTTTCTGCTTTCTAGAGTTTCTAGAGCTTTTCTGATGCATTCTCAAATGCCTTTCAGATACAATATAATGTTATTTTCTCCAAGCCATCAACGTCGAAATGGAAACATTCAAGACACCAGAACCGGCAGTTAGATCGAACGGCCACAGCATATTTTTGAATTTTTCGATTATATATGTATAGTCTTTTTACTAAGTCATGCGGCTTGTTACGGGTCTACCGTAATCGTTGAGGACTACCTCAAAGGGTCGGAAAAGTAACAGCAGTAAACTTAAAAATTAGGCCTTGCGGGGCTCCTCATCGTCGAAATAGTCCTCGGGCTCCGTGCTGGGAAGGACCCTGATGCTCTTTAGCTTCGGACAAGCAGTTTGTAGACGTGTCTGGATAAGGAGCGCCTTAGCGAGCGGACCACCTTTGCGGGTTGGGCGCACAAAATGATGGCGTTGATGAAGTGGGTCAGCCCCTCCTCCACTTGGTTTTGCTTAATCAGCGCCTCGCCCGCCTTCATCTGGGTGACGAAGTACTCCTCGAGGGCGGCCTTGTTGTTGGCGCATGGCACTATCGTGGCGGTATTCATGCGATTCCAGCGGCGGCGTTCGTGTACTCGCTTCTTGTAGTCGGGAGCCGACAGCCGCTTTTGATCAAAGTAGATGCAGTAGCCTAGGAAGAAGGCTACACCCGTGCCGAGTGTAAGGCTGACGATAAATGGTAGTGCCATCTCACGATTCAAATTTGGAAGCAAACGGAAATACTAGTAAAATGTTAACGTTTTCTTTCTGCGTGCTGTTTATTGAAAGTGTAAAATTTAAATTTTAAATGAAAAAGTCACTCGTACTCCTAGCCTTTTTCAATGAATTGTCAAACCCGGCACAGCTGATGAGTTATAAATTATAATTCAAAATGATTACTTCTCAAACGAAGCAGAGAAACCTAACATTGGGCCACGCAAGAGTTATATGCGTTTCTTTACAGCTTCATGGCAGATAGTATTGCTAAGAAACCCCGCATATTTCGCTTTTACATGTTGTATATTTACCTCGCTGAACAAAAGACAGGGTATTAGCAATTTGCAATAGACTTGAAACAGTATAACCTTTGTGTGGGCCCAGATTTAGGTTCCTCTACTTGCATTTTATTTATTTTCGGGAAATACAATTAAAATCAGTTTTCATAATTCCCAATACTCGCAAAATTAAAATCAAAAATGTAAATCCTTTAGCAAACAAATGTTTCAGAAAGAACTTGGCCTATATTAAGAGTCATATTACAGACAATCCCAAATCTTGCAATATAAGAATAACCATCTGATGAAAAGTCAAGTAAAGTTACATGCGATAAAGTTTCCCAGCTCCTGCAATGTTTATACCCTTGAAGAGGGGATTATAATTTTGGTCAAAAATGTGCAACGCAGTGAAGGAGACATCTCCGACCCTATAAAGAATACATATTCTTGATCAGGATCACCTTCTGAGTTGATCTGAGCATGTCCGTCTGTCTGTCTGTTTTCTACTTTTCTGTCTTTCTACGCAAACTAGTCTCTCAGTTTTAAAGCTATCGTCTTGAAACTTTGCGCACACCCTTCTTTCTTTTGCACGCAGTATATAAGTCGGAACGGCCCGGATCGGCCGACTATATCCTATAGCTGCCATATAACTGATTAATCGGAAATGGTATAACTTTGACGTTTTTAAAGTTCGAGAGTTCAAATTTGACATGAGAGCATTTTTTACGACATATAACATTACGACATGCCAAATTTCATAAGGATCGGCCGACTATATCCTATAGCTGCCATATAACTGAACGATCGGAAATGACCCAACTTTCCTGTTTTTGAAGATAGAAAGCTGGAATTTAGTACAAATTCTATTTTTGGTCAGTTGATCCAACCTACCAAATTTCATTAGGATCGGTCGACTATATCCTATAGCTGCCATATAACTGAACGATCGGAAATGACCCAACTTTTGTGTTTTTGAAGATAGAAAGCTGGAACTTGGTACAGATTATATTTTTGGTCAGTTCATCCAACCTACCAAATTATAATTCATAAGGATCGGCCAACTATATCCGATGTTTGCGATATATATCCGGTTTTAGCTGCAAATATACCCTTGCCGGCTATACCCGGCTCCGCCTGAAGTTAGCTTTCCTTTCTTGATTTTACTTATTTTTTGTAATTACTCTTTTTTGGGATTAGTGCGTATTTACTAATATTTTGTAAATTATGTAAATGATTTCAAAGGTAATTTTGTGTAAAATCTAAGTGTATGTATGTCGAAGCTTGTTCAATTCTGAATAGTTTAACTATAAGATAGTTTGTCTTGTTCTGTATGTTTCCGCATTAATGGAGCAATACTATATGGACTTTTTCGATGCAACCCGATCGGCCGACTATATCTTATAGCTGCCATATAACTGAACGATAGGAAATGGTTTTTGGTAGAAATACCAACTTTGGTATGTTTGAAGATAGAAGTTTGGGACTTTTTGTTAGATTTTGTATTGTAATAAATTGGATTATATATTCATATTCCCATAAGGATCGGCCAACTATATCCGATGTTTGCGATATATATCCGGTTTTAACTGCAAGAGTATATCAACTTCGGCTCCGCCCGAAGTTAGCTTTCCTTGTTTTTACGGAGATTGCAAACCATTTTTAAGACTTCCTAGTGAAACTCCGATTTCCCCAAATGATTTCTACAATAAAATTGTCTGACTCCAATTTTAAATGTCCGTAATCTTTTATAATCAAGAAACGCGACTACTGCAGTCCATTTTTGTTTTGATTTTATAGAGCTGTGGTTATGTTCAGTGTTTATTTTTTAATCTTAAAAAATTCATCTTACATAAGTAAGCGATTCTAAACACGTTTACCTTTGGTTCTCCTTTCTTTCAGTAAGGGGTGGACTTGCAGGAGCTTCAGAGGGAGGTTCGATAGCTTCTTCGGTTGGCGCTGACTTAGTCTGGAGGGTTTCATCAGATGCCGACTTGGGATTCTTTGGGCTCATCATGATGGTCACCAAATTGGCGAAAGGCGCCTCGACCAGGATGTGCATCAGGTAAGAAAGAATCATCGTGAAGCCAAGATCCGCCCAGAAGCGTAGCATCTAAGGACAGAAAGAGTTAAGAAAGACACTTTGGAGAAGGAATCCCACTTACCACTTGGTAGTCGCTGAAATAGGTGCTAGTGCGGGTAATGCCACTGTTAAGGGACTCTATGAACATGTGGAAGATGTAGGCGGCGTAGGAGAGCCGGGACATGGGTTGCCACAGGGGGGACGAGAGAAAGCTGTCTGCCAAGTAGCCGTACCCATTCATACAGGCGAACACCACCCAGCAGAGGCCCAAGGGCCAGGCGATGCGGGTAAGGCTCACAAACAAGGCCTCCTCCACAATGGATATATCACTGGCACGGTACACCGCTATGAGGCAGGTGAATATTAGAGCAAGCGCCACTAGCCACCCTAGCAGAACAGTGATGGGGTTCAGATTGAACTTCTTGCCGCGAGTCAGGTGCAGAAAGTATCCGAATAGGATTCCCACTAGATACGGCGACGCACGTACGTTCGGCGTGTAATACAACTTGGCCCTGCCCTCTTCGCTCCCGTTCCTGCAAAAAGATTTTGGTTCATTATCCTCATCGGAGTCACATGGCATAGCTTAGTACAACTTACATAGACATGTTTTTAATAACCATCATGCTGAAGAGACAGGAGGCCAAAAGCAGCATCAGGATAAAGATGCTAGCGGCCGCCTTCTTGCCCCACCTGAATAGGGCGATAAGAAGGAACGGCGCGAAGATGAAGAGTTGCATGTCCACGGCCAGGTACCAGGAATGGCTTAGGCACTGAAAAGGTTATCAGGGTTTGTTAGTAGAAGCCTATGTGAATGCTCTCAGCAACATACCATATCACGTGTTGCGTAGTTCTGCACATAAAGAAGCGTCCATAGCCAGTTGGCCTCGCAGGATGCGTAGGAGTCAAACGATATTTGGCCAAAAAGGGGACCGTCGCCCAAAAGGGGCAAGATCTTCAGGTAGAGGAGGATGGCAAAGGCTACGAGGGGCGTGAGGCGCACATACCGCTGTAGGTACATCATGGGGATGTTGAGCTTGCCCTTGGTCCTGAAAGAATGGCCTCCAATGTGAGCTCGCTTTTAACCAGTGAAATCGCAATCAAACAAACCTTTCCATTGTCCGAAGGGCGATTACAACTAGCAACATGCCACTTAAGAAGAAAAACGTGTCGACGGCAAAGATTCCGTGGATGACAAACTGACTAAAGAAGGATTTTATCCACTGAAGAGAAATTGGGTATTTAAATTGTAGTTTTTATATGAAACTTTGTTTCTTCAGATTTACCGAAAGTGCGTCAAGCATGTTTGTATTGGGAGATGATGCGAAGACCATGTAGTCGTGAGCAAAAACTACCCAGATGAACGACATGCATCGAATTCCGTGCAGGCAATCTATAACATTGGGGTTCGACTTGGGCTCCACCAACCGGAACAGTGCTCGGGAATTGGCGCGTGCCGAGAACGCCTTGACCACGGCATTGAGGCTCTCTTAAAAAGATTTATTTATTGCATTCCTAGTTTTGCAATTGTTTTCAAGGTACTCACTGTCATCCTGGTGGAAGAAGTAGTCGTAAACTGAACTTGCAGCTACCAAAGCACCCAGCACCGATAGAAGAACTCTGGAAAGAACTAAATCACACCACACCCCGAAAAATTTTTAAACGGCAACATACATGGTGAATATAGTGATGCCGTCGTATGGCTTTTTCTCCGCCGTCTGGCATGTGGCTTCGCTCACGATCTCCACGTCCTGACTTATCTCCGCGTCAAGCAGGTTTTGGAACAGGCTTCTCAGCACGGTGTCCATGTGGGATGCCGAGCAGGATGCGGGAAAACAGACACCCGTCTTGAGGACCACTGAGGCCAACTGGACCTTGGCGAAGCAGTACTTACCCTGCACTCTATGACTGAGAGACACAGCATGCTCGATGCCGACACACTCATCGAAGTTGCCCAGGTCCCAAAAGTTTCCCACGAGCATTCCAGCAGGCAGGAAGCCCCACGAGTCGACCACTGCACAAGGTGAGTTTAAGAAATATTATTTTCAGCTAGTTTCAGCAATGCTTACTTTTCAGAGCCCACTTCTTAAATGACGCCAGATCCTTTGTTAGGAGTGCTATGTCAAGCTGGCACTCTTGCGCAGAAAGTAGTCCTGCCCTGCTAAGGTCCCCCGTCAGGTCGCCTGCGGTTATGTTTGGGAACAGCTCGACAAACTCCACCGACAAACGTCGAAGTTTTGAGATGGCCGCATACTGTTCGGCCCCCAAGTCCCCGACTGGTATTTGCTTACCCAAGGCTAACTGGTTTTCCCCAAATTGGGCACTCACCATTGCCAGGGAGCTAAGCCACAAAACTACGAATAGCCTGACCATGTTTTCCAGTCCGACTATGTAAACTGATTGAGTGCTTGGTCCCCAATGCCCCATTTATATTCCGGAGGGCAGCCCTCCTTATCTTAAATTAGATCGAACGCTTCATGGCTTATCTTCTAGGATTTGGCCAACTGCAATCAGCTAGTCATGTTGTGGGCTGATAGTCAAGTTACAGAAGCAACTACTGAATTTTTTCAATATAAATTTATTTACCTTATTGACATTAATAGTTCTGTAGATTTAAAATATATTAATTGTTAAAAGTTTAAGTTATTTGTAGCTTTTGAATTGTAGCTACTCTATTATTTTTGCTAATAAGAGTTCATATCTCAGACTATGGCTGCAAAAATATTTAAAATAAAGTTGAAGCGATTATTCGAATATATGATACCTCTCCTCTATTTCACAACATTTCCAGAAATTAAGATTACTACTTAAAATAAATTTTTTGAACACCATTTGTTTATAAAAAAAATTGTTTGAGAAGGGCAGTATAAAACAAGAAAGGAAAGCTAACTTGCTAAAGGAAAGAAAGGAGCCGAAGTTGATATACCCTTGCAGTTAAAACCGGATATATATCGCAAACATCGGATATAGTTGGCCGATCCTTATGAAATTTGGTAGGTTGGATGAACTGACCAAAACTAGAATCTGTACCAAGTTCCAGCTTTCTATCTTCAAAAACATAAAAGTTGGGTCAATTCCGATCTTTCAGTTATATGGCAGCTATAGGATATAGTCGGTCGATCCTTATGAAATTTGGTAGGTTGGATGAACTGACCAAATATCGACCAAATATTCGCGTCGGTTTCTACGCGAACTAGTCTCTCAGTTTTAAAGCTATCGACTTGAAAATTTGCACACACCCTTCTTTCCTTTGCTTGCAGTTTGGTGTTTTTAGATTTAGAAAGTTCAGATTTTGTACAAATGCTATTTTTTGCAAAATAATACTACGTACACAATTTTTTTACGAGGGCCGACTATATCTTATAGCTGCTATAAACCTGAACAATCGGAACCCAACTTTCGTGTTTTTTAAGAAAGTTGTCAAGTTGTAACATCGTACAGGTTCTATCTTTGGTCAGTTGATCCAACCTTCCAAAGTCATAACGATCGGTCGACTATATCTTATAGATGCCATATAACTGAACGATTGGAAATGATATTTGGTTAAAATACAAACTTAGGTTTTATGATGGAAGCTTGGGACTTTTTTTATACCCTTGCAGAGGGTATTATAATTTTGTCCAAAAGTGTGCAACGCAGTGAAGGAGACATCTCCGACCCTATAAAGTATATATATTCTTGATCAGGATCACCTCCTGAGTTGATATGAGCATGTCCGTCTGTCCGTCTGTCCGTCTGTCCGTCTGTCTGTCTGTCTGTCCGTTTCTACGCGAACTAGTCTCTCAGTTTTAAAGCTATCGACTTGAAACTTTGCACACACCCTTCTTTCCTTTGCACGCAGTATATAAGTCGGAACGACCGGGATCGGTCGACTATATCCTATAGCTGCCATATAACTGATTGATCGGAAATGGTATAACTTTGGTGTTTTTAAAGTTAGAAAGTTCTAATTTAACATGAGAGCTATTTTTGGCAAAACAATACGACGTGCCAAATTTCATAAGGATCGGCCGACTATATCCTATAGCTGTCATATAACTGAACGATCGGAAATGACCCAACTTTCGTGTTTTTGAAGATAGAATGCTGGAATTCCATACAGATTCTATTTTTGGTCAGTTGATCCAACCTACCAAATTTCATAAGGATCGGCCGACTATATCTTATAGCTGCCATATAACTGAACGATCAGAAATGGTATTTGGTGTTTAGTAAAAATAACAACTTTGTTTTTTTGACGATAGAAGCTTGGGACTTTTTTTTAGATTTTGTAATTTAATTAATTGGTTTTATTATAATGTAATCATAAGGATCGGCCAACTAAATCCGATGTTTGCGATATATATCCGGTTTTAACTGCAAGGGTATATCAACTTCGGCTCCGCCCGAAGTTAGCTTTCCTTTCTTGTTAAGCGCTGCGACTTTATTTCTATGACACAGAGTCGAGTCGGCCAATAGAGAATAAACGAAATTGAATGTATTATTATAAACTGTCTCGTTTCACATCTTGAAAAAAACAAATGCATTGCCCCTATCTGGACCAAAATAACACACCCTGCAAAGATTTAAAAATAATCCGAAATTCAGTTGATGCTACTGTATTCTGGAGGCAAACAATTGTTTTCCTCAAACATCTATGCTGATGAAGCTTTGTAATTTACTCTTATCGTCTAAGAATATTTGATTACCCCTTCCAAACAACTATGTCAATAGTCTTAGTAATTGATAAAACACAAATTGTCGACGCTGCGTTCTGAGTAATACACCTGGAACTCTGAAGTGTCTTAACGTTATCGTAGCACTACCTGACTCATGGCAGAAATCAAAGATTAACTTGGCGAGCTGTCTGAGCCAATCGCCGATGAACTTCTGAGAAGGCCGGGCTGAGTGATTGGCCTTAAACGATATTCTTAGTGTCCTGAAACACCTCTTAAAATTATTATACCCTTGCAGAGGGTATTATAATTTTGTCCAAAAGTGTGCAACGCAGTGAAGGAGACATCTCCGACCCTATAAAGTATATATATTCTTGATCAGGATCACCTCCTGAGTTGATATGAGCATGTCCGTCTGTCCGTCTGTCCGTCTGTCCGTCTGTCCGTCTGTCCGTCTGTCTGTCTGTCTGTTTCTACGCGAACTAGTCTCTCAGTTTTAAAGCTATCGACTTGAAACTTTGCACACACCCTTCTTTCCTTTGCACGCAGTATATAAGTCGGAACGGCCCGGATCGGCCGACTATATCCTATAGCTGCCATATAACTGATTGATCGGAAATGGTATAACTTCGGTGTTTTTAGAGTTAGAGAGTTCAAATTTGATATGAGAGCTATTTTTGGCAAAATAATATGACATGCCAAATTTCATAAGGATCGGCCGACTATATCCTATAGCTGCCATATAACTGAACGATCGGAAATGACCCAACTTTCGTGTTTTTGATGATAGAAAGCTGGCACTTGGTACACATTCTATTTTTGGTCAGTTAATCCGACCTACAAAGTTTCATTAGGATCGGTTGACTATATCTTATAGCTGACATATAACTGAACGATCGGAAATGGTATTTGGTAGAAATATAAAATTTCGTATTTTTGAAGATAGAAGCTTGGGACTTTTTTTTAGATTTTTTATTGTAATTAATTGGTTTTATTATGATGTAATCATAAGGATCGGCCAACTATATCCGATGTTTGCGCTATATATTCGGTTTTAGCTGCAAGGGTATATCAACTTCGGCTCCGCCCGAAGTTAGCTTTGCTTTCTTGTTTTTATTTTGCTCTTATCAACTCCTAAATAATTCTGTTTAATCAAATCACTCTTATTTTTCGAGAAAGCCGCGTTACCAATATAAGCAACAAATAGTTAATACAAGAAAAGACGGCTACAGTCGAGTTTCCCGACTGTATGATACCTGGTACTCATCTCTTCCACCCATAACTAACTAGCACTTAAAGTTTAAACTTTAACGGAATGGATTCTCAGCAACAAACATTTGTTACATAATTTTGTACTTTCGCTACAAACAACAACGGAAGCCCCACACTACCCCCTAAGGCCGTACTACCGATTCAGTAGCAAAGCAGACTAAAAAGTCTATAACTTCTCTAAAAATTATCCGACTTTCCAAAACCATTAACGAACTGGTGCTATAACCAGATTTAGGTTTTGGAGGCGGGAGTGGGTGTGGCAAAATTTTGACACAAACTTGATCTCCCCGGATACCATACGAATCCAAGTTCCAAATCGGATAGTTTTATATCTGATAGTTTTCGAGATCCACGTGTTTAAAATGTTATCACGTTTGTATGGAAAAATCATACGATTTGGATGAAATTTGTTTTTCAGATATACAGGGTGACAATAAATAACCCGGACAAACTTTGAAGCAATCTATTATAAATGTGTCATGATGCAGCCCTTAAATAAATGCATTTATCGATAGCTTGTACTTTTCTGAAACAAATATATTTACATTTTTGTGATTCTCAACAATTTTATATTTGTTTCGGGATGTCTTACAATCGTTGCGCAATTTTAAAACTGTTTCAAATTGCCAATGCGACATTGTTCGTTTGCTTGGCATACCAAAACAAACGGTCTCTGACGCTATCCGGCGATTTTATGAGCTTGGCCCTGAAGGTTACCGTCCCGGACGAGGCAGACCATGCACCGCTAACACTTCCAGAATTCGCCAGATCGTGAAAAAGCGGATCACTCGGAATTTTCATTTTCACCCCTTGTTTTCATCGATCAAGTGGTCAAAATCAATCAGGAAGTGTACCGCCGGGGCATTTTGGAAACTGTTGTGCTTCCTTGGGCCCAGCAGCACTTCGGTGATACGGAGTGGACGTTTCAACAGGATTCAGCGTCAGCCCATAGAGCCAAATTGACTCAGGACTGGTGTAAATCCACTACGAAACCAGCTGAATATATGTTAACACAATACCTATTTAATAGTTGTGTATCTGCATATTTCTCAAATACAGTTCTTTAAAAAGTTATGATCAGAAATGTTTGTCCGGTTTATTTATTGTCACGCTGTATATGGACTATAGTAGTAGTATAGTAATAGTATAGAAATAATTTGGCATGAGGACTGCTTGCAGACTCAGAAGGTGATCCTAATCAAGAATATATGTACACATATACTTTATAGCAGATGATTCGCAGCTCACTCCCTCACTGCGTTGTATAGTACACTTTGGACCAATATTATAAAACCCTCTACAGGGGGTATTAATTTTGTTTAATAGACTAACTGTTAAAGAGCTTTTGATTGGCTTTACCGAATATATCGGAGTCATTAATCATGTATACTTATCTACATAACTGCAGCAAAACTGGGAATTCAAAATTATTTCTGGTTCAGGGTAATATTAGGAAAAAGAACGATGAATACTTTTCTCTAATGGACTCTTTTGATCCAATTTTTTTGCGATAAAGGTAATAAGGCTGTAAGCTGGTACAGAAAATTTTGTACTCCAAGCATTTGACAACAATCAAAATAAACAACACAGTACCAATACCAATGACATCTTATCGACCAATCTTTGCAGAGAAGAGGTGCTTATCAAAACGTATGGGTAAAATAACAGCTTAAAGATAGACGTTCCTTGAATGTTAATCTGGATCGAAAAGCTTATTTCGCATAACAACTGAGGTCTTACAATTGGAAAAAAGAAATGCATAACATTTATTCGCTGACATTTATGCACATTCACTTGTTTATGAATAATAGATGCAACAAATAAAGTCTCGAACACAAAAAAGCGCGCATAGGTCGTATAACCGCTAAAATCGCAAGACAATATGAGAAGCTGATTCGGTGAAAAAAGTGTAATTAATTCTAAATAATATTTACTATTTTATTTGGCTTAACAAGCTTTTTTGAAAGCTAGTGGAACTTAAATGGTACGAAAATCGAAATTAGTACATGAAGTATTCTCAAATAGCTTTCCTAAAAACAAATACTTTTGTAGAAAAATCGGAAAGCCTACCAGTTTAACACATAAATTAATTATTTCGCAGTTCAAGTCTGTTTTAAATTTTTTCCATGCCCCATTCCGCCCCCATAAATTGTAGCGCCAGTACACAAAGGTTTTTTGAAAAACTTTTCATGACAAACATTTTATTATACATTAACTATAGAAATGTATAAAAAACCAGATTTATCACAAAAAATTTTTTTTTTTTTTATAATACGCTTAATGTTTGCGGAACCTGTTTTTATACCCATGCAGCGGGTAATGTGCAACGCAGTGTTAAAAGGCAAAAAATGTTTTTTTAGAGGTGATTCCACAAACGTTATTTTTTTGTTGTCCTATCGAATACAAAATCAAATTACAGGGAACCTCTCCACGATAGCCAATTTTAGGAAAACGACCTACCGTGATATTACTGTTGATATTTGTTTCTTAGACACATAATCGGTTATCGCATTTAGATTGCAGCCAAAGTACAGTGCGATCCAAGTCAACTGAATTTTAATAAGAAAGGCACGTTTTGGCCAACCATTTCTGTGATTTGTCTGGACTTAAGAGTCTAGATTTATGTTTATATGTACATACCTATGTATACTTAACAACCTATATATTATCGTCAAACTAACATAACAATAAGAATAGACCACTGCCTCTACTACTTTGTAGCAGCTTATCCGCAAGAAATGTAATACGTAGTGGGGAACTTCCCCGAATTCATTGACCATGGGATTGGTTTTGGCAGCGACCTAGACTTGGCCAACGCTAATCAATAGATTACGCGGAATCCAGGTTTACGGTTGTGTGGTTGATGTGATAACGTCTGCCTATCGATGCCGAAGTCTTCAGCATAAAAGTACAAGCGAGCTGGTGGGCAGGCCAATAAATTTTTTACGTTACACGAAAGACGTTGTCGAAATGCGACTAACTGCCCTGCTTCTTCTGTCCTTTTTGACACTTGTCACGGCAAATATCAGGAAGAACCTGCTGCTACACAACCTGTTCAACGTGCCTTCAGCCCCAGGCGACAGCGTTGATCCGCAAACCCATTTGAGTACGTCCAGACTCCGACGTCTGCCGGTTGAGTTTTTTAGCTACTATGGTAACTTTACGGCGTCAGACTTGGTGCTGGATATATTTGGAGAAAAGGGTTCCCGGTTGCCCACGCAGGAGGATGCGAAGTGCATTGCGGACATAGCTTTACTCAGCCAGGATTTGAAGGCAACTAAACTTTGGGCCCTGAAAGGTGAGTTCTAAAATGCAACATTAAGTTTATTTGTTGTAAGGACTTACCCGAATCTTACAAAAAGTTTTTAAATAGACTTAAAAAAAGTGGATACATATATGTACATATATTTAGCTTAATTCATTGAATTAAAAAAGTAGGTAAAATTTTAATTTCGGTATTTGCTAGATTTAGCGTTGTTAAGGATGTTGTTAAACCTTGTTTAGATAGTGATGATCAGCATACAGTGATCATCAGTGATAGTGATCATAGTGACTTAAATATTTGTTCGATAATAAGAACTCTACAAATAATTTTATAAATAACTATAATATTTAAACAGTTATCGACTCTTGGGGTTCCCTACCATCGGGAATATTTACTGGGAACCTGATAGACTTGGGAAACTACGACGAGTGCCTGGGCATAAACCACGCCGTGACCTCGAGTCACAGTATCAAGGGAAAGTACTGTCTTTCGAGGGTCCCGCTAGCACCAAACATATCGCCAGTGTTGTCCCTGAAGACAGCGGTCTGCTTCCCCGCGTCCTGTTCTGCAGCCATAATGGATACGATGCTGCGTAAGCTCTTTCAAACGCTCCTCAACTTTGAGCTTGATCAGGAGATCCACTTGGTAAGAGAAGATTCATGCCAAACCTCAGAGAGGGAACTTACTATTTGTATTATGTAAGTGGTTATTTAAAAATAAACAAGAAAGGTAAGCTAACTTCGGGCGGAGTCGAAGTTGATATACCCTGGCAGTTAAAACCGGATATTTATCGCAAACATCGGATTTAGTTGGCTGATCCTTATGAGAATATTATAATAAAACCAATTAATTACAATAAAATATCTAAAAAAAAAGTCCCAAGCTACTATCTTCAAAAATACCAAAGTTGGTATTTCTACCAAATACCATTTCCGATCGGTCAGTTATATGGCAGCTATAGGAGTCGGTGGATCGAAATTTATCTTGCGAAATTCAGCATGTCGTATTATTTTGCCAAAAGTAGCTCTCACCTAATATTTGAACTATCTAACTTTAAAAACACCGAAGTTATACCATTTCCGATCAATCAGTTATATGGCAGCTATAGGATATTGTCGGCCGATCCGGGCCGTTCCGACTTATATACTGCGTGCAAAGAAAAGAAGGGTGTGTGCAAAGTTTCAAGACGATAGCTTTAAAACTGAGAGACTAGTTTGCGTATAAACAGTCAGACGGACAGACAGACGGACAGACGGACATGCTTATATCAACTCAGGAGTTGATCCTGATCAAGAATATATATACTTTATAGGGTCGGAGATGTCTCCTTCACTGCGTTGCACACTTTTGACCAAAATTATAATACCTTCTGCAAGGGTATAAAAAGCTTCTCCTGTAAAATTGGATTTTTCAACATACGATACTTTCGCGGAAATGCGTCGATATGATATAAAAAATACGAAAATAAACTTTATCCTTACGCTCCGATTCCTAATACCTTCCAGAGTTATCCTCTCTATATTGGCAACTCTTACTTTCGCGACCATTTATGACTACTTCTACCATGGCCAAAGTAAGTATTCACGTAACTTCCCAATGCGGGGGACCCAGCTGTATAAAAAATTCAATATTTTTCCAGACACCCTGAATCCTGTAGTGAAGGCTTTCTCGGCACGTGCCAATTGCCGGTTTCTGTTCCAAATCGTAGAGACCAAGTCCAATCCCAATGTTATTGACAGCCTGCATGGAATCCGTTGCCTATCATTTATCTGGGTGGTCTTTGGACATGACTACCTCGTGTATCTGTTTTCTCCCAACTTGAACTACATCGACGTGCACTGGGTTAGTTTTTCTAGTTTAAAAAATTGCTATTTTCATGTAATAGACCTATGGGCTTTTAGTGGCGTAGATCGGCCTACAGCATGTTACTGCAGCATGCAGCGTACTCCGTGGACACGTTCTTTTTCTTAAGCGGCCTTCTCCTGGTGCTGATAGCCTTGCGTTCAATGGAGAAGTATGGGCTCTTTGTTGGAAACCTCGTTCTAGAACCCACTAACCCTTAAAACACTCTCTATTCAGGACTAACGGAAAACTCAATATTCCACTTATGTACTTGCACCGTTATTTACGCCTCACGCCTGTTTTGGCCGTGGCCGTTCTCGTCTACATGAAAATCCTTCCGCGAATGGGCGATGGTCCCCTATACGGAAAAGTGAGCTTCGACGAATACTCTATTTGCGAGAGCACGTGGGCTTGGACGCTCCTGTATGTTCAAAACTATGCCACACACGACATCGTAAGTTACGCCGTAATTTTGGATTAGAAAATCTTCTTCTAATGTTTTTGCAGTGTTTAGGTCACTCATGGTATTTGGCAGTGGACATGCAGCTCTATATTCTATCGCCCCTTATTCTGATTGCGCTTTACAAATGGGGCAAGAAGGGTGTCGCTGGAATAGTCGTGGCAATGTTGCTTCTAGCTGCCTGTTTGTTCAGCATGATGGTTATTAACAACATTTCGCTGTAGGTACAAACATAGTAGAATATATATATATACAGTCGTTAACATCACCATTTATAGAATCACTGAAACCGAGGATGCCATGAAAAAGATATACTTTTCAACACACACGCGGGCCTCACCCTACCTTATTGGTGTCGTGTTCGGATATTTTCTACACGTCAAACGGGGCAAGTCCTTTAAGCTGAACTGGATGGCTGTCGTCCTGGGATGGGCTTTAAGCTGGGCTCTGCTCCTTTGCTGCATTTTTGGAGTTTTCGCGCAGCAGAAGAACTTTGAGACTCCTTCCACGCTAGAGGAAGCCTTTTACCTTACTTTTACTCGCATATCCTGGCCCTTGGGTCTCTGTTGGGTGGTATTCGCCTGCATGCACGGCTACGGGGGTATAGCCAACAGCATCCTCTCATCTCCACTGTGGCAGCCTCTGTCACGCCTCTCATACTCCGCCTACATCTTCCATATGTTTATAGAAAGCCTGAATGCCGGGCTCGTTCGGAGTAATACTTACTTCAGTGATTACCAAGTGGTTTGTTCTAGACCTTATTCTGTATTATGCTGTCCAAGCTGATTGCATTATTTCTTTTAGATGCTTCGGTTTTGGGGTGATTTTGGATTCACCATACTCCTCGCCTTCGCCGTTTTCATTATCATTGAGGCTCCCTTTGGAAATCTCGAAAAAATTTTCCTTCCCACTCAGAAGACACATCCCCCCACAAAAGCTGCCCAGCTCAAGGGAGAGCTGGAGAATAAGAAGGAAATCGAAAGACCGGGACCGGCTCCGGAGAAAAACATACGCCTTTAGAATTTCCAGTATATTTAAAACTAGTTTTTAGTACTTATGGAGTATTGAAGTGGCTTAAATAAAAAGCTATAAAACCCTATAAAGCACTTTTTCACTTTTAAATCGGCTTTCTTAATTTTTTATATTCCCATATCGGCTTCTGGAGCTACCGGTTATCCTATCGCCTTTGGTAAGGTCTTATAATGCTTGGGGTCAAGAGAAAATGAGAGCCCTTCTTAAAAATTTAAGCGCGTTCAGTGCTATCGGGTGCAATTCGCAATCGGATCCATAAGTGAAAATAAAGTTAATGAGAAGAAAACAACCGATTTGGGATCCGAGAACTATTCTCTAACCAACCACCAGTCGCTCAGTTTTTGAGGCAAAGCTCTTCGGAAGCGAACGTCTAACGTGGATCAATAGCCCGACATCAGACTCCAAGTGAATTCATAAAATTTTCAGCTATAATCTGAAATTATAGGACTTAATGGACTTACAACGAATTCACGAAATGTCTATGGTCCCTATGGTCCGTTATCAAACTGACAGCCAGTTCACAAAATCTTCGTCTATGGTCCGACTCTCCGTGAATGATGAATGTTTTTTATTTTATTATGTATTTTTATTATGTATTTATTTTATAGTAAAACTTAAATTACCTTCATACTTACTAACTAAAAAAAAATTATTATCTAATTAAAATCTAGTTTTGGCCTTGGACAGTGTTAAATAAATAGGTCTTACTCCAATGCGTTCCTTTTGGAAACTGATTTTATTTTGTAAAGTTCTCTTATACATTCTGTAAGTTAACACCAAAGTTATACCATTTCCGATCAATCAGTTATATGGCAGCTATAGGATATAGTCGGCCGATCCGGGCCGTTCCGACTTATATACTGCGTGCAAAGGAATGAAGGGTGTGTGCAAAGTTTTAAGACGATAGCTTTTAAACTGAGAGACTACTTCGCGTAGAAACGGACAGACAGACAGACAGACGGACATGCTCATATCAACTCAGGAGGTGATCCTGATCAAGAATATATATACTTTATAGGGTCGGAGATGTCTTCTTCACTGCGTTGCACACTTTGGGACAAAATTATAATACCTTCTGCAAAGGTATAAAAAACTAAACTTTACATACATATACTTGTATGCATTGTTTGTTGTTAATATTAATTTTGCATGATATTAAATTTTGAATTTGCTCTTGCATATTCAGTTTTTTGCTAATTATAACTTCGGTGGATTCCTTCAGAAACTCGAGTTTCAAGGGTCGACAAAATCGTATACTCTGCGGAGTACGATTATTCCATAAAATAATACCTGAGGAACTCACTAATCGAAGAGATGTAACCGTCGTAGCAAAGATGGATACTCTATTTGCGAGAGCACGTGGGCTTGGACGCTCCTGTATGTTCAAAACTATGCCACACACGACATCGTAAGTTACGCCGTAATTTTGGATTAGAAAATCTTCTTCTAATGTTTTTGCAGTGTTTAGGTCACTCATGGTATTTGGCAGTGGACATGCAGCTCTATATTCTATCGCCCCTTATTCTGATTGCGCTTTACAAATGGGGCAAGAAGGGTGTCGCTGGAATAGTCGTGGCAATGTTGCTTCTAGCTGCCTGTTTGTTCAGCATGATGGTTATTAACAACTGAGGAACTCACTAATCGAAGAGATGTAACCGTCGTAGCAAAGATGGATGAATGAAATTCATATTAGTGGCGGTTAGTGTATGCCTGATTATAACTTGCTTTCCCCGTGCTCCCTTCGAAACCATTGCTTAGTATTAATTCGTCAGATAAGAAGTTTGTTTGCTGATTACACAGTGCGACTTTGGAATTGGTGATTTGGAACTTTTGAAGAGATCTAGTAGGAATTGTTCATTAGGTTGAATATAGTATAAAACCGTTTTTGAACTTTTTCCAACACCCTCAAAATTTTGATTTATTTAGAAAAAACGGTTTTTCGGGACTTGTTTCCGCTTAAAAATTGCTAAGCGCTTCAGGCTTCAGGCGGCGTCATAGAACAAAGCTCCGAACGTCTTCAAAGCTTCTGGTGTACAAGGCCGTAATACGTCCAATTTGGACATATGTCATCCAACTCTGGGGCACTGCGAAGTCGTCGAATGTGCGAATTATTCAAAGTTTGAATTTCAAACGTTCGAGAATAAAGCCCTAAAAATCGCCACCGGGGCCCACATCTTCCATGACAACCACACCATCCATGAGGTCCTAAAGTTCCCATGGGTGAAAGACGAAATAGAGAAAAGCAGCGCGCGCTACATAAAGATGCTCTACGACCACCCAAATCTGTCGGCCATCGCCTTGCTGGCCAACAGTGAGCAGCTCAGACGACTGACAAGGACGCAAGCTCTGGACCTCGTCTGGACTTCCTAACATTCCTTTCTCCAACTTTTATAGTTCCTCATACATATTGTTTATACTTTAACGTACCCTAGTCTAGTATTACTTAGTTTTATATATATTACTAAAGATAAGCGAACTTATGTAAAACAATTTAATGGTTGTCCGCAATGGACAGTTTTAAATATAATGTGCCCCTGCCAAAAGGTGGGTCAAATAAGCTGTGACTCAGACTTTCGTCACCCACAAAATTATAATCCTACAAGGATTTCATAAGGATCGGCAGACTATATCCTATAGCTGCCATATAACTGAACGATCGGAAAAAACCCAACTTTCGTGTTTTTGAAAATAGAAAACTGAAACTATATAGAGATTCTCTTTTTGGTCAGATAATCCGACCTACCTAATTTCATAAAGATCGGCCAACTATATCTTATGGCTGCCATATAACTGAACGATCGGAAATGGTTTTTGGTAGAAATACCAACTTTGGTATTTTTGAAGAAAGAAGTTTGGGACTTTTTTTTAGATTTTTTATTAAAATAAATTGAGTTACATTATCATATTCTCATAAGGATCAGCCAACTATATTCGATGTTTACGATATATGTATATCCGGTTTTAACTTCAAGGGTATATCAACTTCGGCTCCGCCCGAAGTCAGCTTTCCTTTGTTGTTTTTTTTTTAAATTTTTGGATTTTTGGAAAAGGTTTTTTTGGATTAATTAGTTTTCACTACTCTAGTCGTCAGTTAGTCGTTTATATTGAATCAATCTACCAAAGGAGATGTTCAACCAAAATGTACCAAATATGTTCTGATATGTAAATAAACGGACTATAAATATCGGAACCACCCAGGTGATTTTATTAGTAACCGTCTTAAAATGTCGGTTTTATCTTTGTCATCCAACTAGCCTGTAATGTGCAAGGCTTTAAAGTAATTTAAATGAGAGACGAAAACGAAAAAGGGCCCGTGAGGAATCCATGCCCCATCCATGCCATGCTCTCGACGGCCCTGATTGCACGTGGCAAAGCAAAGTGTTCAAAATTTGCGAGCATAAAAATGCGAAAACTATCTGAAATATTGAAAATAATGTAGTTAGCCTGACCGTGAATGGTTGGAACAAGCCAATCGACGGTAATCGCTATTTAGAAGAGACGGAAAGCGCAAAGCGCAAGTCGCAGGTCGCAAGACCTGAATGGTAAGACTAATGGTGTCTGAAATGAGGAGAAACAAGCTTTTAACACCAAAGGGTGCTTCCAAAAGGTATATGTGCTTATTGCGAAAAATAAATTTTTTTTCAAAACAAAATGGAGATCACACTGCGAAAATTGTTAAGGAATGGATTGGAAGGAAACCTTTTAAATTAATGGAATGGCAAGCACAAAGTCCCGACCTCAATCCGATTGAAATCTTTGGTCATTCGTCAAAAGATGGATCGGGCAGTACGAAGCAGATCCATCAATCATGGGCAACTTTGGCATGAGCATGCCTGAGCGCGATCAGGAAATCATCTCAAATAAAGGTCTTTGGAAAAAATATTAATATTATTTTTAATAATTATTTAATTATTTATCTAAAGCTACCAAATGGTTCTAAACTAAGAGCTAACTTAGGGCTAATAGCCATTTGATTGTTGGGTGACGAAAATATTAGTCGTGAACATGCCCTCAATTTTGATCGCCCCTGTATGTACACTTGCCAGGAAAACTATCCAAAAACTATAAACAAACATGTTCGCACACTTTGGCTTAAGTAAAAGTCTTAAAAATACGTACATATATGTACACAGAAAATTATATAAAAAATTTAAAAAAAATGTATAATTTTTTTTATTAAAAGTAGTTTGTTTTATAAGCTTAATGGTAACTTTTTAGTTCCAAGCTTTTAAGATTTGGAATATATAAAATAAATAAATATTACAAATTTTTAAAACAGGCCCACTGAGTACTGGAAAAAATAAATTTTCAGTGATAAAAGCCACTTTTGTATGTTTGGGATAAAAGCGCATAAGCTTGTATGGAAAAAAAGGTACAGACCTAGATATCCAAAACCTTGCCCCAACCGTAAGACATAGTGGTGGTGGTGTAATGGTTTGGGGTTGTATGGCGGCTAGTGCCGTCGGTAATCCTGAATCCATTGAAGCCACAATGGATCACAAGAAGTACATTCTGTCAAATAAGTATCCGGAAATTCTCATTTTAAATTTTCCCGCTGAGAATATTTCGATAAAATTTTTATTCCCAGGTTGGCACAACTGTCAGCCACTATTCTGTCAATTTTTATGGCTATTTGTCATTTAGTTTGCTCACGGCATCATTAGGAACAAGTCAACATTTTATTTAAAATCGACATTGTAAAACTAAATTTATTTCAAAACGCTGACAAATTAGGACTGGCAGATGTTTGTTGTTTTTAACAGGTCAATGATCTAAAACATTGTGCCCACAATACAAAGCTGTGGTTGCTATATAGTATAATGTGAAAAATAAATTGAGCTCGCCATCGCATTCCCCTGATCTTAATATTCAGCATCTATGGGACCTATTTGAGCGCAAGACAGCTCAAACTTAAAAAATAAATGTTTCCACTGTGAAAAATTTTCTCAGAAATTGTCTTGGAAGTTTTCTCCATAGGAAAATATAAATAGGGAAGCGTAGCTTTTCATATGTTTAAGACCTGTTGCTAGAAAAGCTTTCTTTAAAAGATACTCATTTATTGAGTTATTATTTATTGCCCTCGACTTCTCTCACTTCTTCTTAAGCGAACGGTCGTGTTTTTTTTTGTGCGCATTGCGTTTATGATAAATATTGTTGTAAACCGGTGTTTACATACTTACTTGAGAATCGAATTTAGAAAAACTTCAGTTTTAACTTAAACCGTAACGCTTCGCGTGTGCTGTGGTATATTTGGAGGCGAATTAATAACACAGTGCAACAGTGATTTGTAACTTTTAAAGAGACATAATAGAAATTGATTATCAGGTCGTACATATGTATATAGCACAAAACCGTGTTTGAAATATTTGTAACACCCTCAAAATTTAGATTTATTTAGAAAAAAAAACCGTTTTTCGGCACTTTTTTCCGCTTAAAAATTGCTAAACGCTCAATTTTTAACCCATTTTAAAATTTCCGATGTTTTTCAATAGTTAAATGTTGTAGCTTTTGAAAAAAAGGATACCATTTTTATACAAGAAACTGAAGTTTTTGTGTTTTCGGTCGTGTTTTTCGGACTTGGGCGCAATTTTTTCGGTACAACTTACAAGAAATGGTATCATAAAATGGTATCCAATTTCATTATAACGCTTTTCCTAAAACAAGTCAGTGCAATCTTGCTTTCGTTATGATATTAAGCGCAAAAAAGTCCCGTTCATTTCCCGAGATCGTTCATTTATATGGCAGCTATAGGATCCTTTCCTTATTTTGCCAAATATCGAATCCATAGAAAATCCCAACATTCTAACCCTCCGACACATATACTGCGTCCAAAGAAATAAGGTTATGTGCAAAGTTTCTAGTCGATAGCTTCAAGTCATATCAACTCAGAAGGTGATCCTAATCAAGAACAAATGTATGTATATATATACTTTATAGCAGTGGTCGGTAGGGCCCTATTCCAGGGGCATAAGAAATTTCTCTACCCGAGCTCTGCCACTCACACACACCGTGTGTAATGTCATGCTCACAGCCTACTTTCCGCTATTCGTTACTACCTACTTTCCGCTAATATGCCTAATAGGGTCGGAGATGTCTCCTTCACAGCGTAGCACATCTTTGACCGAAATTCGAATACCTTCTTTTGCGAACCAATTCCGCCGGCCATCTGCTGCTACTGCATTTTGAAGTTATGTCAATTCGATATTAAATACAAATCTCCACAATTTTCTAGGGATTCAAATTTGTTGCACGCATAACTTTTACCGCGAACTTAGGTCATGCGTTCGATTCCCAGCCGAGAAAGCTTTTTTTTAAATTTGTTTAAATTAAGCGCAGCTTAATAGCGCATACATGTCAATCCAATAAACATAAGAACGAAAGTTTAATTCCCAGCGGAGGGTATGTGATTAAAATATCTAGGTTAGTATATTTATAATGTTACTTAACATTTTCAGACAGTATGCATTCGTAAGAGAATTAAAAACCGTACAACATGAACCATACCTTATGGTTGAACTCGTCTTATATTTCTTCTTAAACATTAGTAATTGACACTAAATTAAACCTGATATTTAGACACAAATTGTCACAAGACTCAAGCATATCACATTCGAATTCAAAGATATAAGGACACAAACACTTTCCTTATACCAGTCTTTTTGGATTCGAATCCAAAGCATTATTATTGCACACGATTTTTAATCAATTTAAAAGCCTTTGAAGGTTTCTTAACCTGTAGCCATTAAACTTATTTGGAATTTGCAAAGTTTAAAAAGTTAATTTTTTTCCACAAAAAGGAGTTGTCTGAACAACGAAAATGTTTTCACTCCTGAATCGAAACCGAAATATGGCCTGATTCAAAGGTTAGTTAAATTGTGAGTGGGAGTTTCTAGTTTTTTTGTTAAAGTTTGTCGATCAGGCTTTGAGTGAGGCATATGCGATAAAAATCAAAAATTATGTCATTGTTTTATTCAGGACCATATAAATAAAGTTGGGTTTGGCGAACGTAATAAACAACTAGGACAGATCGTGTTGTGTTTGTTTTCCTAAAAATTCTGATGTCAAATTGAAATATTTAATTTTGCATTAATTGCTAGTGATTTATCTTAACACACTTAGTTCAAAAAAATTTTTTTTGTTAGTTTTAATTACCATTATTGGCTTATTTATGTCAATTTCCATTCATTTAAGCTATAAAAGCCTAGCGTTTCGAAAAATGCTGATGTAAATTGAAAACAAATGTGGCAAAAGTAAGCGGTCAATAGAAAATTTGCTTAAAGACTATTTCACATTTATCGATTGAGTGATGAGAAATAATGTAATTTAGATGGCTATCCGTATTTTTATCGAGTCCCATGAATGTCTATGTCTCCAGAAATTTTCCCGGAGGGTCTCTTATGATATGGATTGTCTTTAAAAGTCACCTGTATGTTTTAAAACCGATTCAATAAACTTTCAAACCTATGTAGAGCTAATATGTAGATAAATTCTTTTTAATTTGGAGATGGTGAAGAAAGTTGTAAAATGTTGCGTCCACCGCCGAAAATCACGCTTTTGGAATGTTTAAATCTTGATACCGATACAAAAATATATGAGATTTCCTAAAATATATTAAATTTGGCGTTAAGCTGAGTTAAAAAAAAGAATTTTTTTTTATTAATTATATTTAGTTTATATTTATATTTATAAACATAATTTTTATATTTAGATGAGAGTCTAAATTAATTTATATAATTAGACTAAGTAAAATTTAATTTTAGTTGTTATATGTATGTATATTTTCTTGATCCAAATCAATAGCCTGACGATTCGTAGACCCTATAATGTCACGCAGATAAAGCTTGTCTATTTATTGCCTGGTCCCTCAATCCGGATCCCTAAAAGTATGCACTTCATCTGAAAACATGATTCATTCGTGTTAAATGAAATTTAAACAAGAAAGGTGTGTGCAAAGTTTCAAGTCGATAGCTTTAAACTGACAGTCTAATTCGTGTAAAAACAGATAGACGGACATGCTTATATCAACTCAGAAGGTGATCCTGATCAAGAATATATATACTTTATAAGGTCGGAGATGGTTCCTTCACTGCGTTGCACACTTTTAACCAAAATTATAATACCCTCTGAAAGCGTATAAAACACAACTTAGCGTTTAACTTCTACATATGCATATATGTCAGGCGTATGTACATATATTATATATGAAAGGCGGTGGTTCAGTAGAAAAAATCGGCTACAACCGTCCCATCTTGTTTAGTTTTCGTTCCGCATTGAACCCAAAAAGGAAACTATTTATTTATATTTTTCAAACTTTTTTATTTATGAAATCGAGAGCGACCAAAAAACAAAAAAAAAAAAGAGTAGCTAAGTCTAAGCTAGGACAGGTCCAGTCCTGAGTCCCGGCCTTTAAATCTCCGGGTAGGCACTGCCAATGAGGTTCTTGCCCCTATAGCGCCAGGAATAGGTGATGATGCCAAACTTGCTGTTGCCCAAGGAGACGGGACAAGTGCGATCAGGACGCAGTTGGAAACAGACTGTGTAGAGGGCGATTTCCAATTCAGGCGAAGTGCCAACGAAGACCGTGTTCACGGGCTTGTTGAGACCCTGATGGGAGAACCTGATCTTCACGACTTTACCCTTCTGTTGATTTCATAATATATTTTGTAAATTATGGAACATCGGGGGTGTAACTTTACTTACTGTTCCAATGTCCTGCTCCTTCATGTAGCCCTTGTAGTCCAGCCTACCCGCCTCCTCCTCCTCGCTGATATAGACCCAATTGTGAAAGCCGATAATGGTGCCGTCCTTGACCTCGTGGACAAAAACGTGCTCAAATCCAGAGCTGCCAATCTTGCCCTGCCCCCTCGAATATTGGGTGAACCAGAGTTCCTTGACAAGGTCTCTGTGTGTCTTCGGATCGGGACTGACCAGACCCTTTTGCTGGAGAAACTGCATGGCCTGTCGCATCACCGGAGTGGCCATGACGGCGTCCAGGAAGTCGTTCTCCTCCTTACGTTCATTGGGGGTCACATGCTCATTGACCAGCGTATCCGTCTCATAGTTGTTGAATAGCACCCGCATTTTGGCAATAGTGGGGTTGTCCAGGGCCTTGGCATCCACACGGAGGAGGCTGGAGAGAATGTAGACGCAAAATGTAAATTTTTGTGGGGACATTGAAAGGAGTTTTTCCTTACGGGTTGGGAGCCTCATCGGCACTATCAATGGATCGCGTGCGTCCCTGGAGATTGACCTGGATGTTTCCCAGCTGGCTGTTTGTTTCCTTGGTGTACAACTGCTCCGTCAACTGGCGGATCTCGTCATCGGTGGCCACCGAACTACCGGAGCTCTGGAAACCAGGACGCACTGTTGAAGTGGTTACTCCACCATGTCCTGCGAAACCTCCATGTCCTGTTACACCACCTACTCCTGGTCCCCTTGCTCCTCCTCTGGTAGTAGACGTTGTCGGTGCTGGTGTGGATGTTGGAGTAGCCTTAGTCGTCGGATGAACTGGGTGTTGGGGCGTGGGCAACGGGGATTGCCAGGCAGAGGGAGATCCTGGTGTGGGTGTGGGTGATCCTGAACCTGGTGACTTGGGTGTAGGCAGGGCTGGGAAGTCCTCTTTGATGGAGGGTCTACGAGGTCCAGGTAGTGCGGGGAAGTCTTCTTTACCCACATGAGGTTTTCCTGTAGTAGTTGTCGACGTGCTAGAGCTTCCCGAGAAACGAATGTCGATATTTGGCTGAGCTCCAGGTGACTTGGGCCTCTGGGTGGTGGTGGTGGTGCTGCTGGTAATTGGGTTGACCGACCCAAAGCCGGGACGTCCTGTGCCCGGTCCACCGCCTCCTCCGTAACTCAAATCATAGCTATTCGGCTGAGGCTTCTGTGGACGGTACGGGGCAAAGCCAGGTGGAAGATTGGGGGCTCCACCTCCGGGTTGCGCCGGGTGGACTGGGTGCTGGGGTGGCTTTGTACTGGTCGCGGTGGTGCTGGGCCACTGGGGACCACTGGCCGGAGGCGGGGAGGCGCCAAACGGAGTCGATCCCGGGGTATCGGGTCGGGGGCCCAGCGGCATCAGCGGGGCGTGGGAAATCACAAGTGGCGGTGGCTTCTGGGCTGCTGTTGGAGTAGCCACCACTGGTTTCGGTGTGGTCGATGTCACCTTCACATTCCGACTGGATTCGGTGGTGGTTGTGGTCGTGGTATCTCCACTGCCAAAGAACTTCTTAAAGCCGCCGAACCAACTGGACTTCTTGGTCGTGGTCTCCATGGAGTCCAAAGGGTCGGGAGTGATCACCACCTCACTTTTATAGGCAGCTATAGGGTTTTGATTTTGGAAGGGGTTTTTAAGGGCTTTACCAAGCATTTTTTGATATTACTCACCTGCCAAATAAAAGTTTCCGGCAATTGCCAGGCACACGATTAATGCCAGGCAACGCATTTTTGTTGTCGATTTATTGTCACTTCCCTTGACTTGTTTCTGTGCTTTTAATTTCGGTTTTTTTGGGTTTTGCCGAAGTTCCTCTGGCTCACAGAGGCGTTTTTTTATAGTTGGGTATTTTAAGGTTACTTGTCTCCGGTTTTTCGACCGACTCGTCGGAGAATCAGCAACCAACTGAGGCGATCCGCTTGATCTTGACGGCGACGTTGCTGCTGTCGCTTTGTTGCTATTGCTGCTTCATATGTTGCTGCTATTTTGTTGCTGTCGCTGTTGTTGCTTTTATTAATGAGTTTACGCCGTTCGTCGATCGCCGTCGCCGTGGGCTTAGCCTCCGCTCAGGTTCGCTACTTTATTTAGAGTAGAGCATTTCAAAGCTCATGAAATCTAAAGAGTAAGCGATTACAAAAGGTTGAACTAAAAGTTGAAAAAGTTAAAATAATAGTTCATAGCCTAAAATACATTATTCGCACTTTAATGAAAAATAAAAATAAAATATATAATATATGTATTCATTATTTATAAAGTTAGTGTTTTTTATGCTTGTTTTTTTTTTTTTTGGTTTTATGTTGATATGGCATAGGTATATATGGTATATGGAATATATGGTACATATATTCTTGACAATATGTATATTCGTAAAATTGACCTAAAAACACTTTCTATTAATCAAAACTATGCTTGAAACTCAACTTAAAATCTCCTTAAACCTTATTTATAACAACATAAGCAAATAATTTGTAGTTTTCATTATTTTTTGTAGCTACGTATGTATGTGTACTTTAAGTCTACTGAGATAGATGAATTGAATATCTTTAATACATGGATGTCTACTGAATTTGCTTTAAGTGTTCAGTGAAAGCAATTATCACCTTCAGACTTAATGGGAAAAATCCATGTATACAAAACAAACTGGTTACATATGGGGTATTGTATGGGGTTACATATAGAGAGAGAAATTTTGTTTTTATACTGAATATTTTAGAATCCTTTGTAAAGGAATACCCATGAATATTCTTGCATATATAGTCTATCAAATGAGATTCCCTTTTTTTGCCAAGTAGTTACGGCACTTAATTTTCGCCGCAACCGAACAACCGAAATTCTACCTAAAGTTCTGCAGGAAGCTGAATCAGAGGCTGCCTGTCCAGGGGCTGAGAAACACAATTACCTGGTTAGCTCTTTAATTATGAAAACCCAAATACAAAAAACAATAAAGCAAGAACAAGGCTGCTCAGAAACAAAAATAGACGCAAAGGGGTAGTCAAAATTGTATTTGATTTTCGGAAGTGGATCACGTAAGCGGATTCAAATAAATTGGGCCTTACATAATGCTAATGCCCCGAAAGCCTATCCCCGTATTGTTCAGGTCTGACCCCCAGTCCCGCTCAGGGTTTCCCTCCCCCGTCCAAAGAGTGTCGCCCCCGCGAATTCGCCACTAATTAATTGAGAGACAAAGACAAAGAGCGCCCGGTGCCATCTCCGTCTAATAAATAATAATGAAACTGAAAACGGAGAATACAGTACCGGAATCTTTGGCTTATCAGCAATCCGGAGAAAGGCCAACGGCAGAGGTTATGTTTCGTATGTGCTCCTATTTATTCGGCGAGCAAACACAGATAGTGATTCTAAAAAATTATTCTTGTTTATTGCTTAGATGTTCAGAATTTCAAATAAATAGAATACAATCAGACAGCAATATATTTTGTTTTTTTAGCTATGCTTACCATTTAAAGCATTTTAATTCTTAGAAACTAAGCTTGATAAACAATGTCCACTATCCCAAACACTATTAAAAAAAATATGCAATACGTGTATTGTTGAATTTATTTGTATTTGTTTTATTTAAATATTTAATTCAATCTATTGCGTTTTGGCTCGTGGAGGGAATCAGACTATAACTGCTTTGACATTAATGATTGTGGACTTGAAGAGGAACCTCTTGCATTAGAGGTAAAACTTTTATTTGTAAGCATTCTTATTACCTAGTTTCTGTCTTATGTCACTTGTAAGAAAATAGTTTTGTTTAAAAAGTTTTTCAAAGAAACTAAAATTAGCCTGTCAGATTTAATTAATTTATGGACACGGGAACATTGCATCTTTTGAAATTTATAAAAGAAAGATAATGTATATAGAGAACAACTAATTAGATGGCCAAGAAATCAGTGTGGCATTGGATCTTCTATTAAAAGGAAAAGGCAGGTTTTAAAAATATGTAGTAGAAGAAGTAAAATTATAATAGTTATTACAAAAGAAAAAAATTAATCACAAAATTTATATATTCTTGCAATGACTGTTTTGTTTTTTTTATGGAATTAAATGAAAACGAATGAGAAGAATAAATGTTTTAAAAATGAAATTATAGAGCATATTTTTGGGCTTTTGAGCAGGGAAACCTTATAGGCAATACCTCGCATGTATAGCGATCCTATATTTTCTTTTTAAGAAAAAAAAAGCATTTAACTATTTTTTTTTTTTTAATTTAATAATGTGTGTGATATATATTTCTTTTCTGACAGAATTAACAAAAAAAAAAAAAACAGTAATAATCTGGGACAGGGATTGGAACTTCAGGACGGTTTCCATATTTTATCCCCTACAGTCCCCGTCAAACACTCTTGTTAATTAGTTTCTTTCGAATGGACTCGTCCAGTGGCGGAATAGCCTCGCGGGGAATCAAAAATGTGGACAGATTAAACAAATCCAGAAACACCTTATACCGATCACTGCAAGAAAAGAGAGAGTAGGCGACGGGTCAATGATCTGAGCCCCTGGGTGGCAGGTGCTCCAGTTACCTGAGAGTGGAGCGAAGATATTGATAGCCGGATGAGCCGCCAGTGCCAAGTTGCTGGGAACCAATCATGCGTTGGACCATAATCACGTGATTGTCTGGAAGAGGTTGACATGAAGATGCGTTTTTAATAAAAGCGAAGGTGTGAAGGTTTTAACTGCGAATGCCAAGTAGTGTCACATTGCATAGAACGGAAGATACTCACATCTCCACTTGGTAATCAAGGAATCAATATCCATGAGCAGTGTGAGCAACTGGTGGGGCTGGCTGAACCTCGGCTCGTCCCGGTAGAACGTTATCATGATGGCGCCCTGAAGAGCCCGGTGACTGAATCGGCGATCCCCCCGCCGCACTAGAGCTTCGTGGACCGCCGGGTCGAAGATAGAGCGGTAGACCTCCTGGCGCTTCTCAATGTCCATCAATCGATAGTTTTTGGCCCGCTCCACTGGTTCCTCCATGGCACTGTGGACTTGGGCCTCCAGAAACTTGTCCACGCTCTGCTGGAACTTTTCCCAGAAGTTGAAGCCACTCTCCTCCAATCCGGGAGTGCGTTCCAGCCAACGCTGGACCAGCTCCAAGAGTGATGGCTCCTGCTCGGAGCTCCTAATGGCGGTCAGAGCCTCCTCGTCACCGCCAAAGACGTCCGAGTACTTCTGATTGTATCGGACCCTCTGTTCCGTAAGGACTCCGAGCTTGTTCTCGATTAAACGAAACTGCAGAGACTGAAAGCCAGAGGCGGGAGCCAAGTACTTACGGAAGTCCATGAAATCCAGAGGAGTCATGGTCTCCAGTATGGGCACTTGGTCCACAAGGAGCTGTAAAGGGTTGTGGTTAGACTTTATTTGTTTTGTTTTCAACTTCAACAAAATACCTTTAAAATGAGAACCACCCGATTCAGTCTTTTGACAATCTCCAGGGTCTTTGTCTCGTCAATCACCTCTGCGTCTAACATGTCCCTGATGGAGTCAAACTCGAAAATAATCTGTTTGAACCAAAGTTCGTAGGCTGCGAGAGTACGAATGGAATATTACATGTCCAGTACTCAGATCATTAGACCTACCCTGGTGTGTTATTATGAAGAGGTGCTCGTCGTGAACCGGTCGCTTATCCTCTTTGGAGAGCATGCACTGGGCGTCCAGCAGCTTGTCCAGCATCAGATACTCCCCGTAGATTTTGCCCACTTCCGTGGACAGGGGAACTGCAGCATCGTCGTGATCGTTTCTGTATTTGTTCATAGATTTTTTTGGGGTCAAGGCTCTGCTTTTAGTTTACTAATCTTAAATTTAATTGTTTCGATCACCACCACTGACCCGCTTCCAGCGTAGGGACAGCTCATCTTTTTAAAATTTCTCAGATGCTCCTCGAGCGGCGGACGCTGGCGAACTGAATCTCGGCAAAGATGGCAGTGAAGTGATAAGGTTGACGTCGGCGACCGTTCCGCTCGACTGTCCGCCGCCTTACTAACCCCCTCTGAAGCCCTTTCCACCCAAAACTATAGGAAATTTAAGTCGATTATCAGCTGAAGGTAAAAACTGGAAGCTAACAAATATGTTGTTCACAAAAATAAATCTTTAAAATTACAAAAATATTTTTTTTTAATAAAATAAGCTATATATAACTTATGACTTTATTTTAGTTTAAAAAAAATTGCAAAATTGATCTTTATAACAAATTATAACAATATAAACTGACAATGTAAAAAATTGTTGTATAGACACATTTTAAAAGAATCTACACATTCTCAACAACCGGATGGGGCTTAAAAATATTTTTAAGTAAAAATACTAAAAGAAAATTGTTGGTTTCGTACCGACAATCTTCCTAGTGTTTTTGTTAAAATCAGTCATGAATCTTAACTTTTATGTGAAAAGCACGATTAATCTACAAGGACTGTTAAATTAGTATCTAAAAGGCATAAACAAAAATAAATACCGAGGACATAATTGGCAAAAGGAAATTTTTGGTAAAACGCTTATGCTATCACTTTATATACAGAAACAATACAATATCTTCAGACTTTTGAAGTAGATTTTTATTTACGGCGATGCCACTTTTTGTTATCCAATTGTATTGAATGATGTGAAAATTTATTTTTATCTCTTTTTTATAAATTTAACTTGGTCGATTTTAATCGATGTATTCATCATTCATTTCTTATAATTAATAATTAATAAGAAGCAACAATATATATATTGAATTATACAATCTGGCAACTTTTACAACTTACACTGCAATGGTTTTTGTCTAGGCTAAACCACTTGGAATTTTGTGGCAGGAACAACATTTTTCAGTGGTTTGGAGCTAGACAATTTACCAAATCACTAGAGATTTTTGTGACACTCCTGATAAACATAGTTCAAAAATTAGAAAAGCTGTTTGGTATGTGACTCTCAACATGTTACACATTCGAAAAAAGTTCGATCACGCGTCCGCCAATCAAGCAAAATGATTTTTTTTCGACTCAACTCACAAGATTTTAAAATGATAGAAAACAGACGGGTGTCAGTCCGACATTATTTTTGTTTCCGTCGTCCTGATCAAGAATGTATGGGCAATTTTAGCCAGGAAAAAAACAAATTTTTAATTTTCAAAAACAAAAACATTACATTAAGGTCCTCAGTATGGGAAGCGTCGGGAAAATATCGAACCTGTAAAAGAAAATTCTGATAAAAGTGTGGGTACTGAACTGGGAAGCGTAGCTGTATCTCTATATCATAGTATACTTTTAACCAATTAACCCTAAGTAACAAATCGTATCATGATTCTTAAATAATAATCGGTCATTTTTATACCCTTACAGAGGGTATTATAATTTTGTCCAAAAGTGTGCAACGCAGTGAAGGAGACATCTCCGACCCTATAAAGTATATATATATTCTTGATCAGGATCACCTGAGTTGATCATCCTGAGTTGATATGAGCATATCCGTCTGTCCGTCTGTCTGTCTGTTTCTATGCGAACTAGTCTCTCAGTTCTAAAGCTATCGTCTGAAACATTGCACACGTCCTTCTTTCCTTTGCCCGCAGTATATAAGTCGGAACGGCCGGGATCGGCTGACTATATCCTATAGCTGCCATATATCTGATTGATCGGAAATGGTATAACTTTAGTGTTTTTAAAGTTGGAGAGTTCAAATTTTACTTGAGAGCTATTTTTGGCAGAATAATACGACATGAGAAATTTCATAAGGATCGGCAGACTATATCCTATAGCTGCCATACATCTGAACGATCGGAAGTGACCCAACTATTGTTTTTTTTAAGATAGAAAGCTGGAACTTGGTACAGATTTTAGTTTTGGTCAGTTAATCCGACCTACCGAATTTCATAACGATCATAACGACTTTATCTTATAGCTGCCATATAACTGAACGATCGGAAATGGTTTTTGGTAGAAATACCAACTTTGGTATTTTTGAAGATAGAAGTTTGGGATTTTTTTTTAAATTTTATATTATAATAAATTGGGTTATAGTATCATATTCTCATAAGGATCGTCAAACTATATCCGATGTTTGCGATATATATCCGGTTTTAACTGCAAGGGTATATCAACTTTGGCTCCGCCCGAAGGTAGCTTTCCTTTCTTGTTTATATATAACATGATCCTGAGCCATTGTAATTCAATACACATATGGCCAGCAAAGGCCTTAATTGGATGATATTATGATCGAACTATCATCATAATAGATTTAATAAAATAATTAATCAAATATTGTTGACCTAATTGAGATGAGTTTTCTATGAACCAAAGAAACTCCAGCCTAATTATAGCTCCTCATTCGTATTGTCCGGCAGCGGCACGAATTTTATCAAGGTATTGTCGAATCCTGGATCGGAAGCTCACCTTGACACGCCACATTGGAAGACCAATGACGAATGATTGCAGTCGCATGGTAGCCCGACCTTTTTCACCTTATTAATGGCCTGGGCTTCACTCGGTGCTTGGTAGCGCTCCTGAAGGTTGCAGGACACCTTTGGCACTTCTTTTTCCTGTGTACAATGAGCTATTCTGTTCTGAACCCATCTGTTAGACTCACGCTTGCGCTCCTGCTCTGCCTCCTACTCTAGCTGGGTCATCGGGAGATTGGTGAACCTCGGTTCACGCCAAAGAATTTTCACTTGCCCCGGAGTGTGGGCCTACAAGTTCCCGTTCGTGGAACTCAAACGCGTAGCGGTGGTCTGAAAGGAATTTTCAAAAAGAAAAGAAAATGGGATATACAAAATTTATAGAAACGTACAGTATTAATATATATATAAAAGAAAAGAAAACATAGATAACACAAGATAACTGCATTATCTGGTTCAAATGGCCGTAAATTATGAAATTTCTAGGAAGCCGTGCTTTAGAGTGGACAGATCACCCTTTTGTACTTTGGCGGTCAAGAAACGTACAATAGGTGGCGCTAGCAAAACTAGGTGTTAGCGGTTAAGCTAATTAGACTACCCTAATCAGAGTATTAGCCAGGGAAGGATAGTTTAGATCGGGGTCATTTCGGCTGTAGCTGCATTTAAAAGCTCAGATGCGTCCCGGTTCGTTCTTTTTATGGTGTGCGCAGTCGTAAATGACAATCGAGTCTCCGGCAATTTAAAATCGAGTTTAACCACGTGTATTTTTAAATTCAAAATAAGTGAAATTATATAATTTTGGAACACCATCAATTGTTTAGAAGGGTGAGGAATTTTCCCAGTGTAAAAGACTAAAAATAAAAAATGTTGTGGGTCCACATGTGTGGAAACGGAATCCCCATAATTTAACTCACTCTTTCCGCCAGAAGTCTCCACCGGTGTGGAGCGATCCACACTGCTGGATATTAATTTGGCCATGGTCCCATGGAGGGCCGACCGGCCCATAACATCTATACTTTTGAGGGGCAGGAACCATACGAAAAATAAATACGAACAGTGCGGATCGGTGCTTCCTAACATTAGGGCTTATTTTTGTTGTTGTTATAGTTCTTGCTCTCAATACCGAGTTAAATAAAACAGGGATCAAAGAGGGATTGGCCAATTTAAAAGGAAGAGCTGTGTTACCCTTTTTTCGAAACGTACACTAGTGGGCATAAATACATATTTTGACGAATTGAAAATTAGGTATTTTTGTGTATAATTTTGTATAGGTTTGGTAGAACTTAAACATTTTTTTTCATTTCATATCTTGATAATACAAACTTAAAAATAATAAAACAAAAAATAATTCATTTAAATATAAAAATATACGAATTAAATTGATTTTCAGCCTTTCGCATAAGTATTTTGACAAATGGTATTAAACAATATAACATAAAAAAAAATTTTAAAAAGTCCTTATATAAATTAAAAATATAATTTGGATTAATAAAATATATAATGCCCTATTAGTTTGAATAACTTTTGAAGTCTTTTTTTTTTAATTACTGAGTCCACTAAAGCTTTGAGGGTATATGTGGACAAATCGTTCCAAAGGGAAGTAACCTAGTAAATTGTTTCTTTTTTGCTTTTATGCAAAGAAGCAATTCGCTTCCGCTTTATGAGGGACCACACGTTTTCAATAACATTCAAGTCTGGAATTTGTGGTGGCCAGTCGAGAGTATTGACACCAAAATCCTGTAAAAATTTGGTGATCATTCTGCTTTTCTGGCATCGGGCATTTTCCTGTTGCAGGATAAATGATTCACAGATAAGCTTGTCTCCGGAAGGAAAACAGTTATCATTTACCACTCTCAAATATTGCCCCTGGTTCATCGAGCCTTCAACGGGCACCAAGTCACCCAACCCATTATATGAGATGCACCCCCAGAGCATAACCGAGCCACCGCCATGACTCACTGTTTTGCACACGGGCCTATTTTTTGTCGTTGTACCAGTGACAGACTTACAAAAAACCTTTTTAAATGAATTTATTGAAAAGAACTTTCGTCCGTCCAAAGAACGCACCTCCACAAATTTTTAGGCCTTCAACGGGCACCAAGGGCTAATGCTCCTTTGCGAACGCCAATCTTTTCGCCTTGTTTACTTTGGATATGTACGGCATTTCTGCTTCTTTCAAACAATACGTTCACTGATTGGTTTATTAGCTGTCTTATTCCAGCAGGTTTGCAGCAGCAGGTTGAGGCTTTAAAAAAATATTTTTCTTGAATGCCCGCAGATGGATTTTCTCGTCATTTGTCATTGTTTCGCGTTTGGCACCCAATCTTGGCAAGTTGTTAATAGTTTTATGTTTTTTTAATTTGTTTATTGGATAATAACTGTTTGACGCTTTAGATATAAATAGCTATAGCTATTTATTTGCAATGTCTTTTACGGCAACTCAGCTTCAAACTTCGCTACGAAGCCCTAACAACAACACTTAACTCGGGCGTTTTCACCATAATCCTCAAACATTAATTTTTTTATTTTAAAAATTTTTTTATAATGCCTAACCAGAAAAAAACTTTGATCAGTCCTTGTTGAAACTCGCGAGGTAATTACTACAAGGTTTCGTCAAAATAC